GCTCTTCTCTTCCACGTGTAGTAGGCTCAGGTGAAGAGAGGAGGAGATGGCGTCCTCAGCTGGGTGGTTCCATTGGCAGTCAAACTGGGAGAGGTCGAACGTTGGCGGCAGACTGGAGATGTGTTCTTTCACCATCCTTTCGATGCACTTCATCATGATGGGAGTCAGTGCGACAGACAGACAGACAGACAGACAGACAGACAGACAGACAGACAGACAGACAGACAGACAGACAGACAGACAGCGGAATGATCTACAAAGAGTTAAAACACAAAACCATATATAAAATCAGATAGAGTATGGCACAACTTCAAACCTACCAAGAAATGTTCTTCAGTTATACCTACAGGCCAAGAAAGAAGATAATTGATCTAAGGAACAGCCAAGAGGGCCATGGAGAGTCACTTATTACTCCAAAAACACCACAGGCATAGTGAAACATGCAAAGGGTAGAAAAATAGTAGGACTTGATGGATAGAACCTTGACATTTGAAATGTTCTTAGTTTAGGGATGTACTCACACAAAAGAAAATATTTCAGGTTTTATTTTTTAAGTACAATATAACAGTAATGAGGCTTAAAGCCATATGAGAAATCTCAGGAACCATAATGGTGGCTAACCTAAAATGAATAGCAGCTTTCTGCCTCATAAATGACGTTTACAACAATACTTTTCTCCACCCAAAATAAACTCAAGCTTCAGCTGTTCTGACCCAGTTTCTAAACTTCGCCAGCTCGTTGGAGCAACTGTTTGGGAGGTCGCCTTGCTGTGTGGTTGGCTTTAATTCATGCAGTTAAGACACCCTAATTTAGCTCCATGCCAACACAGAGCAGTTTCATGTCTTATTATAAGGACAGTCTTAAATCACAGAGTGGGTAGATGCCACTGGAAATCTATGAATACATACAATGCTAGCACTGCGCCCCCTCTCAGCCCCCATCATTCTGGTTGCACGCTGGTTTCAGCTCTCCGTAGTTTTGGCTAAAAAAAAAAAAGCACCAGTTCCATTTCCAGTAAAAGTCATTTCATAGTTTCTGCATTTCCACACAACTGAGGAACAGCGTTTATCGTGTAGGAAGGGATGCAATTAGATAATCTTTCTCAGACTGAGTGCCGACAGGGAGAAGAGAACATTTTTTTCTTTTTTTAAGTCTCCTGTGGCTGTGTCTGATGCAAGGAAATGACAACATTTCACATGACCAAGCATATAAAAAAGCAACATAAAAACTGCATTGTTCTTCCTGACCCATTTTAATCAAAGGTAGAGAGTTTTATTTGAAATAAAACGCATTACTTAACTTGTCTGCCTTTTAAACATAACTTATTATAAATCTTGGGTAGGATTCCCTTCTTTTAACTAATTCTGTTGTTGAATTATTACTTTTAGTCACTTTCAAGTGTAATTTGACTCTCCTTTCTTTTTGCTTTGCATTGCAGAAAATATTTGTCTTTTTCTCCCTCACTCATAAATTTCCTTCTTCCTTTCCTTGCAAGGACTGAAATGGCTACCAGATGTGGCTCCAATCTGTTCTTGTTACTATGGAAACAGCAAGAAGGGGAAACTTTTTTTTTTTTTTGTCATTGTTGTTGTTTCTTAAGTCCGAGGCATTTGGCTGACTCATAGGGCCTGACTTCAAAAATTGCTGTTTCTACAGACTTGGCACACAGAGAGCCTCCAGAGTCTACCTCGTGTTTAGCCTGCCAGCTAAGATGTCAGTGAGCCCCTTTGCTACATGGCTAAAACTCTGACATAGTTTTTGTTTTTTACAGTTTCTCCTTTGTGCCCTTTTCTTTGGCTTGAAGTCAGTTAGTGAAAATGTCTCTCTTTGGACATCCATCAAAGGTAATTAGAACTGTTTTACTCTAATTATTTCAAGAAAAGCTGAATCCATAAACATGAACAAGAACTTAGACATTTCAGCAGCAGAGTTTACACAGTGACTTGAACATCTCCAGTCCAATGCTGTCCCACAGCATGTCAGGGATGAAAAGCTAGAGAACATGTGACAGTATACTATACTCAGCTGAGAATCTTATCCATCTGTGAACTGAGGACGAACAGATGGAGGCAGTTGTGTCAACATTCCTCTCCGTTCTGACAGTAAATCTGAATTCAAGATGTTGTCAGATTAAATATTGGACAATTTGTGGGAAAAAGTGGGAGAAGAAATCCAGTAAAATGTGTTGCTGACAAGGAGTACAGGCAATCAAAACCAATCCTTGTGTAGGTTAAGTATAAAATAATTTAGGAAAAAATGGGTCTGAGACAGATTGCATTCTGAAGTCTAACAGCCAAGGAAGTCTCTTTGTGAAGCTTTATGCTTCTGGATTTTAAGAAAATAATAGCAAACTAGAAACTGTGTACTAGTTACAAAGCCATATATTAAATAATTAATCTTCTGTTTTTGTTTCCTGTTGTTACAAAGGGTTGGTCTGATGCCATATTGTGTCAGGCAAATTTAATCTAATAAAGAGGGATATGCATTATTTTCCAGTGTAATGTTTTTCTTTTTTATCTAGAGACACAAAATACTCGTAGTTCAAGAAGCATGGTAGAAAGGCTGATACAAACATTATCCAGCTAGGGCTGTAGCATTTAAGGGGGTGCCCTGTGTGTGGAGGACAGCCCCAAAGCAAGCAGCCTGAGGTTCTAGACCTAGCATGGGACCTATATTTCAGTTTAGATAGCTGGAACAATTTCCTGACTTAAAAATGCCAATTAAGGGCACAAATATGCTTCAAATTGATAAATATGAGAAAGGATTACACATATCTATAGTGTGATGCAACAAATGTGTGTAGCCGTCAATAAATCATAGAGTATACCCACTTTTCTGTATCCATCCATCCATCCATCCATCCATCCATCCATCCATCCATCCATCCATCCATCCATCCATCCATCCATCCATCCATCCATCCTTCCATCCATCCACTTGCCCGCCTATCCATCTGTCCATCAGCTTAGTTTTTGCTATTCAAGAAAACCCATACACTGATTAAGTTTCAAGCACAGCATTTCCTCAGTTTTAAAAACTGTGGCCCCTAAGACTCTTTCAAAAGCTGGACTGATTGAAAAACATAGGGATTTATATCATGTTCATAAGATTCGACAGTTCACATTCAGAAAGGAGGTAATTATTTTTGTTGTATTGTAAATTATTCTTAACATGAATTTATGAATACTGTCAGCTTCACTCTAAAGTCACCACTTTGAATGAAATTCAAGTGTCAATGACCCAATCATAGCAAGTTTGTGACATCAATAAGTATTTTGTGTCCGCAAAAAGAAATTAAAGTTGAAGGAAGACAGAACTTATCAGGAATGTTTCCACTTTGGCTAGATGTATTGCTTCTTTATTCAAATAATGAATTGAAAACATACTTTTACAACCATACACTTTAAGCAAACAAAGTGGCACAAAAACAACAGAAAAAAAAAAAAAAAACGTACAGGCCCTGGTTTGGCAGTTTATTAGGCCCTTCTTTACAAACATAGGTCGTAAGGCAATTAAAACAGGCAAGGGCCAGTCAGGCAATATACTGGACTTAATATGTATACAGTATTATGGTTTTAGGTATATGTAATTATTACAACAGTGGTATTATGGAAGTATTGTACAATACCGTTTGTGTTGGATTTACTTATTGGAGGCTGTAACAACAAACAGAAAAAAAAGGATGGTTACAGATTTCCTCTGCAGCTATAATGCCATATAATTACACTCTGCGTCATGCAGTTAAGTGTTAAACAAACAATAACATCAACAGAGAACAATTATAAAGCCAATGTAAACTTTACAGAAGGAAAGTACTCTTACTACAGATTTGATTATGAGCCAAAAACAAGTAACATAGCAAAAAAAGCAAATACAAAATGAAAGCCAGTTCATTGACACAAAAAAGGAACCCACAAGGTCATATAAGCACAGCTTACAAAGATAATAAAAAGTACACAACGTATACCAGTAAAATGCTGAAAAAAATAGAAAGAAATGACTTGTACCTTGGTGAAGTGGGATAAAAAAATATTTTAATGTCCTGTTTTTCGTCTGAGAAAAAAATTCCCAAAGGCACATTTATTACCAATGCTTTCAGTTTAAGTTGTAAAAGCTGCTTTTCTACCTGACTGAATTAGTCTATTATTGGTATTCCACAATAAAACCCATAGATATAGATGTATTCATTTTGAGATCTGCACTTGGAGATAACATTTCCAAAATCATCAGAAATCTTAACAAGCAATTTGAATTTCCTCATATTTATTTGCATACCAGTTGACTTTACTATTCATTTGGCAAATTATGGACATTAAAATGTATCTCTACACAAAAAAAAACACGGGCATAAAATCTGATAAAAATAGTTAGCCATATTGGTTTAATTTAAAGCTTAAATATCAGACAATCTGCAAAAAACAAACAAAAAACAAACAGAAACTAAAAGGCTGGAATTATCCCGATAACCTTTGCTATGCCATGCATGCTGCTCTTATGAATTTAGAGAACACAGACAAAGTTAGTTTCTAGTCGTCAGAGCATACTTGATGTCTAATTTGCTTTAATTTGGTAATTCTTTTCATTTTACTTTGGTTGTTACAGACATTCTATGTGAATTCCATTCCAAGAAGCTTATTAAAAATGAATCTGCAGCAAAAAAAAACTATTGATGGAGTCAATAATTATTCTCCACGTGGTACTTACACTGCAAAAACAATCCAGAAATAAGTAAAAAATGGCTTAAATTAAGTATATTTAGCCTTAATTTGAGCAGGTAAATAAGATGATTTGCCAATGGAATGAGTATTTTCACTCTTAAAATAAGATAGTTAGATAATATTTACTTGAAATAAGACGATAAAATAGTTTTTTCTTATTTTAAAAGGAAATTGTCTTGTTCCATTGGCAAAGTGTCTTACTTACCTCCTCAAATCAAGGAAAAACACACTTATTTTAAGAAAAAATAACTTATTGAGATTTCTATTTTTTGCAGTGTACATATAATTGTGTGCTCACTGCAGAGCAGCTGAGATGAATGAACTTTTAAATAATTTCTCTGGTCAGAGTTATGTTCAACTTTAGACCAGGTTGTGCTGTGACTTCAATACATGTAGAGGCAAAAAGATGATTCCTGAAATGTAACAAATGCGTCATGGTTATCATAAAACCCCTTTCTCCTGTGGTGCCTTTTATCTCAAAGGTTATTTCTCAGTGGTCCTGGAGGCAATGCCCTCATGTTGTCCCTTAATTAAAAACCTATGTTGCTGCTAGTATGAAACAAAAACTTCAGTCTTATAAAAAAATATATGTTCAGAAATTCCTCAACCATTTACTTCACAACCTGTGGTGGCATTATGGCTGTTTTTTGCTGGGGTGTTTTACCATCAGGTGTATCAAGATTACTACCTTTGCCTTTGTTCCTTGGTGGCTTTTTTATGGGAGTCTTCTTTGGTGAAGGATCCAGCAGGTTCCCCATCTTGGAGCCGTTCAAGTCCTGCTTCTCCGGGCTCTTAGTTTCGGGGGTTCCAAAACTGCTGGTGATAGGTGCCACCATTTTCTGGAGGTTGCTTGTTGTGGGCAGCAAGGGCTTGGTTGAGCCCTGTTGGCTAAGTCCACTGGAGTTGGTCCTCTTGGCTTTTTGTGGTGGTGTGGGCTTTTCTTGATTATTTTTAGGTAGGGAGAGACCATTGGTCTTTGTCAGTCCTGTCCCCTCATTCCTGTTAATGCTCTGAGTTTTCTCCTTGAGCTGTGCAGCCAGTAATGTGGCCGCCTCAGAATTCATATGAGGGTGGATGACTTTAGGGCTCTTGGGTGGCTCTTTAGAGCTGTGTTTTGGATTTTCAACACTCTTTTTTTCAGGTGAGGAGCTTCGGAAGCTGCTTATCATCTTAAGGGCATTTTGAACAACACCATTGATGTGCTCCATGTGACTTGGACTGCTGTGCTCATCTCCAGAATTTTTACCTTGTATCTGTTTGTGTTTGCCAGGGGATCCATTTGCACTGGTCTCATTTCCATCATGTTTCTTTTGTTGGCCTCGACTCTTTTCTTTTCTTTTATTACGTTCCTCATTTCTTGACGAGCCATCACTAGAGCTCCTCTTTTTTTCGTTTGATCCTGCAAGTGCCCTATTTTCCCCTTGATGCTCTGGCGTTTGTGACCCTGTTGCATTTCCATGTATCCATGATACTTTAGGTTTAGTAGATGGATCTGGTGGTCTTGGCTTGGACTTGCCAGGGGAAGGGGGTGGTTTTCCATGACTCTTGGCTTCTGGTGTAGGGGTACCATCAGTATCCTTGCCATTACATTCCTCCTCCTTGGACTGCTTAGACGGACGGGCAATACAGGCATATTGGACGGCAGACTCAGACCCGCTATTTGAAACGTCACTGTCAGAGCACTTGAGTATAGACTGCTCGTTGCTTTCCACATTGGGTACACTTGTGTCTTTTAGACATGTGTACTCCCCTGCATCCTCATTGTACGGGTCATCCTCTGAGTCTTCAGCCACAGGGTTGAGACTCTGCTTCTCTTTGCTTTCACTTGTGGATTCTGTTAGTTTTTGGAAGAGGAAAAGTAAAGGACAGTAAGTTGTATTTACTTTTAGATTTCATTAACATAACCTTAAATTTATGAACTATTATAAACACGGGCAGGCTTTTAGCTAGGAACATTTTCATAGGGTCTACACCTTGTACCGGGGGTATCCTTTGCTGTGTCTTTCTCCCCTGCCAGCTCCCAAACGCAATATAGTGTGCTGATCAGAAAAAAATAATATTTTTCCAACTCCAGCATCTGCTGGTTGCGAAAATTAGGGTGTACCAAAGCCGTACTTCCCAAAAACAGGGCGTACAATTTCTAATATTTTTAGTAAAGGGCGTATAATGTACACCCGTATGCAGTTCTAGCTAAAAGCCTTATACTTCAGATTAACTTCCTATAAGCGACATTTAAACGGGGTAAGAAACTATTGCCATAAACCATAGAAAGAGGTGATAAAATTACTATGTGATTTTTAACTTACTATGAATCATTTAATGTCTTTATAGTATATTTTCCTCTATTCTTCTCAGCATTTATTTAGATATGAAATACAGCATATCACCTTTTCTGAACATAATCTTTACTAGTTAATTTTGTGCTTTTGAATTATGATTTGCTAATTATATAACTTAATCAAATTTATTATTTTAAAAATATAAGTATACAAGGACAAAGTCCCTTCAAAAAATGATAGAGTAGCAGTATCATACTGCTCTTCAAAAATAGAAACCAACATGACCAATTTTCCACCAAACTCCAACTCACCCATTGAGTATGTGCCATGCTGACTAGACCTTTTTGACTTCCTGTTTATACTCGACTAGTTCCCAAAAGACAACCTGGATCTAAACAGCTTGTGATTAGAAGCAGCTATCCTCACCTCATGTGTGAGTAACTACAGTATATGATCACATTGGGGAACTGAGCTTCTTTAGAAAATTTGTCCATCTCTGTGTTTGTGCATGCATGTGTGTGCTAAGATCTTCTATGCAAAATGCAAACTCTACATTTAACTGGGTCAATCCAGATAACCAACTGTTTATTTGCTCATTTGATGACCAACCTTCATGTGGAACACAGTAAACAGGCCCTTCATCTCCGCTCTCAAAGGAAGAGAAGGACTCCTGAGAGGACCATGACGAGGGGGAGGGCTGCTCAGCCACAGATGGGGGCTCAATGAAGCTGCAGTTAAAGGTGTTCTCTGGGTCGTGGTGTGCTACTGAGAGGAGAAAACAAAAGCAGAAACCAAAAAGTCATTTTACGGGATTTGTGCAGCAGTGTCATCTCACTCAGTTTTACCTTCTATAATCATAATACATTTTCATTAGCTCAATGTGAGAAGGGATTGCATGGTGTGTTGGGGTATTTTATCAAGTAGCTGACCACATTGTCAATTTGACAGTAAATGACTAACCACAAAATATTTTCAACTACATTTTCTTTCTAAAATTCCAGTATTAAAATTTCATCAATGCTATTACTGAGCATTTCTTTTGTATTTCTGCTAACCCTAAATATAATGTTTATCTAGATTGTGGACTGACTGGTACTGTTGGGTTGGCATAGAGCCTTTTGGATATTACTTTTGCTTTGACCATTATAAAGCAAAGTAAACAATGGTCCCCAAGGCTAAACTTTCAAGTGAATTCCAATCAATATATAAGAAGTAAAATATTCACCCACCTTGGATGATTTACAATTAAATGTATCTTATAAATAAAGGATACAAACCCTCCAAATTTAAGCATGATACAAGGGATAATAATTATTATAATATAAAATGTAAAGTATATATTCGCATAGGCATACACTGGCTTTAGTATATGTATAGAGAATACTTTGGCCTTAAAGACAGTTGCAACTGGACATGCATGATTTAGAGGCATTCTAATGATGTCTAATAAATTGCAAATGAACTGCTTCTAGGTAGCCTAGCAGATACCTAAGAGATACAATTATATTTTTTGTTGTGTTCAATTAACTTAGTTTACCTAAAAAAATATCAACTTCTGTAATTTATTCAAAGAAATATTATTCAAAATCTAAAACTAATCTAAATGCTAGTATAAAGGTTGTCCTATATACGAGCTGGATTTTCAGTTTAATCATTCTGTTAAAACTATTCTGGTCTTTGCTGAGGAGCAGTTTGCAACCTATATCAGTGAATCCTCAACACAAATGTAGGTCAGATCCTGTTTCCTTCCCTGCGTCTCCCAGCCCCCATCAGACATCATAGCATTCTGCTGACCCTTGTTTTCAGGACAGCTGTGGTTTCTACGGCATGCTTGGAGTCAAATCTTCCCATCTGGTTTGAACAGTTTAGTACAAACCAAAGCAGCATTCCCCATTAACTTAACATGAGCAACCACATCAGATGTTCCTGTTTACATGCCCAATGACACATTGGTCCCTTCATTTGTTAAAGTTCAGATAAACCAATGGTGGGAAGATTTACAAGAAGGTACAACAACTTTGCTCAAGATTAATTCTTTGCACTTGAAGTGTTTATAATAAGGAAGGAAAAAGACCATGGTGTGAATATAGAACATTTCAGAATTATTTACATGGAAAAGGGGATTTTTCCCTTTCTGACTGCCTCAGTTTGGATACATTCATTTTATTTGTGACTAAGGTTAAAAAACACCTTCTTTATTGTTGCTTAACATACTTGCTAACTCTCTGTCAGAAAAGGGAAAGCAAAGCAATAATATTATTTATTTAATGAATCTTTAAGTAAGGATTGAAGCATGAATAAAGGAACACCATATTATTGTATGGATACAGTGACACTTTAAAAAGATTAATTGTCTTGTAAAAGTATGTGTTGTCGGATAAAAAAAAAGGATAATTTTTATCTTAAAAACGACCAACGTTCACAGTTAGACATGAAAATGTTTATGTATTCCTTGGATTTTGTAACTAAAAATGTTTCAAACCTCTGAGCTGAATCTCAAATGAACACTGTATTTTTTAAATATCTTTACCTTTTGTTAAGTGCATAGAAACAGCAACAACAAACATCAATCATTACCTCAAAACAATCAGTCTAGTGGTAAAGAGAAGGCTGTTCAAATATTTTCCTGACGTGTGGTATTTTCCAATCATGATTTGTGGTGCTTCTAGAAAATTATTCTTGTTGTTCTGCCTCTCAACAAATAAACACAGTGGCTGAGGTCCTAGATAATCTATTTTACTTGAGGATTAATTTAAGAAAAGAGGATGTATGAAGCTATGAAAGCTCAATATATTTCTAAAGAATTGTACGATGGTCATGGCCCGTTGGCTTTGTATTAACAGTGTTTCATAGCTCAGTGGTAGGGAATAAAATGCATTCGGTTACAGTGAGACAGCATATACCCATACTATAATGCAGTATGATATACGTGAAAGAAAATTCCGAAACACATGACTAGCAGCACGTCCTTATCAGTTATTTTTTAATGCTCTTTACTGTAGTTTATAAAAGATTATTAGGACTTTCGATTCTTTTTCTTTATGTGTTTAGCACATTTAAAAAAAGAGTAACATGTATTAATGACACCTAGTGTTACAAATCAAAACAACACACAAAAGCCAGGTCCAGGAAGTAAGCAGGAGCTGCACACTGCACCAAAGAAGTCCTGCCCTGTACCTCCAGGTTTAAAAATAGACAAACTTCCCTAACACAATGCTAAAGAAAAGACCGAACTGTCAGTAGAGACAGTTACTTCCATCCCAGATTACAAATGAAAAGGATTTTGGTTAACTTTACACTAAATTAAGACATGGAATACAGCATATTTCTTAATTATTGATCCTTTAAGTTGAGTATCTAACAAAAATTTTTTTTGACTTATTTCAAAGCACATTCAAAAACAATCTTACGTATATATATGAAAATATTTACATAGATCTGGAGTACCCAGTATTATATATTATTGGTACACTTTATTAAAGTACTAAAGCTTTAAAACTTTGCATACAATCTCTTGCTAAAAATACACAGATGTAATTCTTTTTTTTTTCTCACTTTTAATAGTATTATCCTAGAACAGTAGATCTGTATAAAAATCATAAAGGGGGAACTGGCTTTGGATAAGTTGCAACCTGCTCATATCAGCAGACAGCAATAACACACTTTTTTAAAACTATAGTATTAAACATGCAGAGAAAAGAAATACAACAATAAACAAATGAGAGTGTTTTGTCTCCATAGAAAGATCTCTAGCATGGAAATGGACAGAGGCACTGAGGAATCTAGCTAACTTAAACAACACCTCAGCCATGCTAATCAACAAGTGAACACATGCATCATTGGGTGTATGCATTGCTGGACAACAACTGCCCATGAAAGCTGCTGTCTTAAGGTCTAGTTTAATTACGAACATTGCAATACAGACTTGACGCCACACTGATCCCTCTCTGCATGATAGCCTGCACATAGCAGTGCATTATTGACATATCACAGCTGCACCGCACCACCTTGCAGCTGCTCTGCAGGGCTGAGTTTGAAAGAAAACAAGAGCGTTAGGGTACAAAAAACAAATACTTCAACAGCCTGACAGATTGGTAAATCAGGATGATTGAGAATGTAATTCCAAAATTCACCTTTAAATTAAATTATGCAGCTTTACAGGGTGAGAAGGTTTGTCCCAACACATACTTTATCACATTAACTTTAACCAGCATTTGCATTCTAATGGTTGCTGTAAAACTTTCTGTGTTTTCTCTGAACAAATGAAGATGAAACAGCAGATGGTGTGGCTCATTGCGCTGATTTACAAGAAACAATCTGGACACAGAGGATGCAAGGAATGCCGGACAGACACAAACATGCAGGGTGTGGAGTAAATACACTCAGAGTGGATTGCTAACCTTCAAGCAAACAGCCTTAGATTGTCAACCAGATGGCAAACCCTTCATCTGTTTCTCTACAGCTAACAATGCAATGCATAAACTAATTTTCATGTTTTGTTTCATATAGCTTGAACTCATTATTCCATTTTAGGTTTTGCCCTGGCAAATTTATTGGCACTGACCCCTGTGTGGATAAATCACAACTCTGACACACACTAAAGTAAATTTGACCACTTCCTGTTTCCAGCCCCATTGGGCCCCTTCTGGAATGCATGTGCTCAGGACTGTCTAGCTCCTGACAGACTTCGTTTCTAAATGTTGCCAGATCACACTCCTGTGGGCAACTTTCGCAGAACGCAGAAAAAAGCACAACATAAAACAGAGCACCATCAAGAGCAAGAAAAAATAATGAAAATTCACAAAAAAGGATCTTTGATAAAAAAGCTCTTGTTTAAGAATCATTGGTGTATAATTAAGCTGTAATTTGGAAAATTAATTCCATTAAAAAAGTTTTTTTTGCAGGTAAATGTGTATAGCCTATATCCAGATTTCATATATAATTATATCATTTTTTGCTAAAAAAAAAACAATGTGATTTTCAAAGGGGTGATGCTTGAGTACCGTCTTTGCTCGAAATGTTTTTGGAAGAACATTTTAGACAGAAGGACTAAAACCACAGAAGCACAATGAAGGTACAGGCTTGCCAGTGATTTGATGTTAAATCTGGAATTGTAACACAGAGCATCGATTGGTCTGGTAAACTTCTCTTGTATTCCCCTCATTAAATGTAAGTCCTGCTGGTCTAACATTCTGTGTACAGAGACACATGATTTTAGACTCAAATAAACAAGCCTGCAATAGATCTTTTGGTATAAGAGCAATAATATACTTTTAAACATTTAGTGGACGGATTAAAAAATAGCACAGTTTACTTTTACTTTGTTCAAAAAGGGCTTTTGTTTTGTTCTGTTACTGAGTTGAACCTTTATTTTATTTTTATCTCCTGTGTGCTTGGAACGAGCCTCTGACTGGATGTATCATCGTTACTGTTGGCACATGCAGCCAAAGTGTTGAATAACAATCTGCGCGGCAGGTGAATGTGGATGGATCTCAGATGATTCATGTTACATCACAAGTGTTTGCAAACAAGTTGACAGCTGAATGAAGTTGGGAAAATTAGTTAGACTTAACCATAGACTGCAGGCCAGCTCCTTGAGCAGAAAAATAATCCCTTTTTTTTTTATAATTAAAGGTATTCTGTTATTAGATTTACTTTTATTTTTTCCAATCATGTCATACCATAACACAAAAAAGTAAGATAGTTGTTCTGGACTCCATCCTGATGCGAGAAATACTTGATCTAAATCTATGAATAAAATTTGTCAGATTATAAAATTAAAGCAACTGGTTGATGAAGGAATCCCAATCAAAGATAAACAAATAAAATACTGTTTTACAACCCCAAAATGAGTTTCCAGGTGTGTTTAAGTCACTGAAATAGAAGTGAAATACTGAATAAGAAACTACATTGAAAAGAAACAAAAATGCTGAAGTTTCAATAACCTTGCAGTAACAATCAAGACTTGTGTCTATGTGTGAGCAAGACTTTAGACCCAAACTCTATCTATTATAATATACATCCAGAACAGTCTTAGCTTATTGAATAAAGAAAATACAATAAAAAAAACTAATAAAGATGATAAACTGTTTGCAAGTGGGGGTTAAAAGATCAGCACATTCCCTTTGACTACAATGAAAAAGACTGCGGTCACAGACAGATCTGTCACACACACACCATGAGACCTCTGCATGGAGCTGTGCTGTCTACCCAAACACTGTGGCCTTTGATAGCTCGTCATACACCAGCAGTCAAGCCCTAGAAACAACCTCTTGCTATTATTTAACTCAACCTCCTTCTAAGTGGATGAAAAAAGAAGCTTCTTTCTTTTTTTCCTTTTTGTGGGGGGGTAAGGAAAAGAAAAAAAAATTACATGATTAGGGTCGTAATAATATGAACACATGGCATTTGAGTGTGCCAAGAATAATAAGTGTCTCTAAAACCATTGCATTCTTTCTAAATGAAACCCATACTTGCTTGCCAACCACCCTACACTTTTCAACTCTATTCATCATCTACAGAGCAGATGGAGGTAGCACTCAAGGAAAGGTCTCACAATGACACTTATTTTTTGCTGTCATTCTATGTATAAAGCAGGACACATCCAGTGCTGCAAGACACATTGGAAAGTCAGACACTGTAGCCTTGTTTTAGAATAAAACATATCTTCCTTTAAATCAAAGGGAAAAAGAACAACAAAAAATAAAAACAACATACAGCTTCTGACAAGGATTTGCTAGGATATGAGGGAAAAAAAAGTTTTTTGAGGCTTACCGACTACTTTGGGCAGTTTCTGTCGCCTCAGTGGAATACGGGGAAGTTTAGTGCTGATTCGGCTGAATCGTCCGCACAAAATCCTCTTGGCTTTTTTGCTGTTGGTGGAATTGTCTCGGTTAGCACTGAAAAGGGATGATGCCATGGAAATCTAAATTAATCTATAAAAGCAGCCATTTTAAACCTGACTCTTGGCCTCCTTTGAGTGCTATTGAACTGCTTTGTATACAAAAAGTCACGTCAACCAAAACGCCCTTTATAATGCAACTTCTACCTCCTTATATTTGTAACAATCATCTTTTTTTACGGGAAAAAAAGGATAAACATAACATTTCTACTTTTATCTCAATTATAATGTCTTTCTGTCACTCACTTGTGGTCGTCTTTGTCTCTGCAGAGGCAGCAGCAGCACAGTAAGGAGAGAAGAGCAATCAGTAAAAAGGAGACCAGGGACCCAGCTGTAATCACACCCATCCGTTGGTTGGGCTCTGAAAGATAAAATACAGTAAGTGGAGGGTGTGCCACATGTGTGCAGGAAATGCCACTTTCAAAAGTAGGATCCAGCAAACTCTAAAAACACTCAAAGTTAATTTGTTTTAGTGACACAATGTAAAATTACATTTACACAATACTAAGTATTGGAACTAAGTCCAAATTCTTGCACATATAGGAACTTTATTAATGTGACGGCTTGGTATTGGATAATTCCTCCCCAAAGACATTAAACCAATTAAACCATCACCAAGATTTCCTGCAACAACCTTCCTCCCCTCATCCTAAAACTCGTTAAATGATTTATCAGCACCCCTCCCTCTCTCGAATAGGATACAACCCAAGTATAATAAGTGCTGTATTTCACAAACATAGACAGCATAATGCACTTGCAAGGACAAATGAGGATTAAATGAGGAAAAGTTCGGAGTTAACTGACTGACATTAATAACGCTAAAGTCTGGGTGTGGCAGGTTGGATTAGTTGATTTTGAAAGAGGAGTTAAACAGGAATGACAAGGTCTCATAATATCACTGACCAACCTGCCACCATTCATCTTTTCCCCTGGCCAAAATCCCTGCTATCCTTGTGTGCTCTAACCTGATTTGCTTCATATTCATCTAAAAAAAGGTGATATCAAATTTCAAAATCAGCCCCTGCATTTCTTTTTATTCTGTCTCGATTGAACTTTCTCGTCACCTCATCGCCCATCGTTTTATGTGGTCTTTGTCCCCCCATCTTCCCTACTGTGGATGTAAAGGAATAGAGCCAAGAAAAGATTCATAAGAGGTATAGAGAATAAGAATCATAAGAATGAAATGTGATTTAGCCAGGAAATAAAATCAAGGACCCTAAATCTTCCATTAGGCTAATTTAGCCAAATAATTGATTTGCTGCCACTTACAGTTGTGTTTGAAAGTTTACATATCCTCCCATTAAACAAAATGACAAATTCACACTAGCAATTAAATTAACACTGAAAAAAGTAATCATACATTAAAAAATATCTAATAATAATTTTGTAAACCAAGGTATTGATTGAGATTTTATTATTTAAAAAAGTTTTGAAAAGAAATTCAGTGTTTTCAGAATTTTTAAACATCTGAATTAGTTGATGGCCTCAAAGTGTTGCTCAAAACATTTTAGATAAGCAGCCCCATCAGACTTACTTTTTATATATATATATATATATATATATATATATATATATATATATATATATATATATATATATATATATATATATATATATATATATATATAAATACATTTTTTCTTTTTAAAAGCAATGTCGTGTTTTCTATTCTTTATAATTTGTAATCATTATTACTTGTATTTATTAATTAGTATTGAATACAAACTTTCGAGCACTGTATTGTTTACACATTTGTTAGATTACTGACCTTTTTTTTTAATTCAGTTAATTTAGTGGATAAAAACTGTTGTTTTAATGGGAAGATGTTTTCCTTTTTTTCCCTATGAAGTTACTCTATTTCTTTGGGCATACTCACTTATAGGGTTGTGGGACCAACGCATCAGAGATTATGATCCATACTGACATGCTGGCATGACCTGCTAGCTGCACCCCATGATCTACCACATTTGTATAGCGCTGAGATCTGGTGATTGTGGAGAATGTTTGGGTAAAGTGAGCTTGCTGATATGTTCAACAACCCCCCCAGAATTATTTGAGCTTAATGACAGTTAAATTTCCTCTTGGAATTAGCTATCCGAATATTGGTAAACTATGTTCTTATAGAGATGGACATGATCAATAGTCAGAACTGATGTCAATCTGGTTATAAAAGGGTCAACGTGTACCAAGAATATACACCAAACATCATCACCTAAACATTGGGCCTACTGTAAGTCTTTACAAGCAGGAAGTCCACACAGTTCATTAGGGCTTTTGGCATACCAGTACTAATTTGGTACTGAGGTACTACGGCATTTAAAACCATATTATACTGCATTTTGCTGGGAGCGGTATTTGTACCTGCAGAAGCTCAGAAAGGACGAGGGGCAAGTTAAAGAGAGTTGTTGGGAGAGAGAGCGAGAGAGACACTGCTGTCGGCAAATTGTCGCTAGATTTAAAGTTTTTCCCCTATAGTGACTTTTTTTTTAAAAGCATTTTATAACTTTCCTCTGTGTTGTTTAAGTTTTGGGTGTCAACACGTCAAAGCATCGATATGTCAGTTTACTGTTTTTAGCGAGCAGTCAGTGCTGCTGTGCGCCATTCAGGGCCCTGTGTGCAGCTGTGTGCAGTTTGCTTGCTGAGAGAAGAGAAGCCGTTTCACTGCATGTCTCCATATGCAAATCCATGGATTTGCAGGATGTCAAAATATTTTTTTCTTTTACTGAAACGTTGTTGCACTAAAATAAGTCTTTGGTTGAATAGAAAGAGCAGTCTTTCCTCGATGTTAAATTGCTCTCCTGGGTTTGCAGTTGAAGCTAAAAATGGTGGAGCAGGAGTTTTCTATTGAAAGTCCAAACAAGAGAACATTTTTCCTGTATATTTTTTGCTTGTTTTTTTTTTTTTTTATTCTATTCATGGGTTTCCTGTTAAATTACAAATATAATTTAAAAATCCCCTTTTCAGATATAAACCCATTCATTATTTAGCTCCATCATAAAAGAGACTTATGATGTCAATCAGTTTCTTTTTCTAACAGAGCCCCTTCCTCCCAAATTGATCTTCACTGGATTTCACAGAATCATTAGTTTACATATCCTCCCATTAAACAAATTGACAAATTCATCCTGGCAATAAATAAGAAGAAATGAATGCAGATATTTTAGTTGTAAAGCTTCACTTCTGGGTAATCAGCTTCCAGTTTTAGTGTTGAAAACATTCTGTCTATTTTTAGGCCTAGGTTTAGAGCCTTCCTTTTTGATAAAGTTTATAGTTAGAGTAGCTGAGGTTACCCTGACTTATCTCTATACAGTAGTAAAGCAGCTTTAGACTTGGCTGTTGAAGGACATACGGTAATAGCTTCTATTCCTCACACTTCTACATTCTCCTACCCCTCTCCAATCTAGCATTATTTTCTGCTTTTTCATTTTTTGTTCTCTCTGTTTTTCTTATCAAAGAAAAAAACATCTGGATTGGTATTTAGCTATGACACAATATTGGAGGGGACGGAAGCTACTGATACCAAAAACGAAATGTTGTCCTTCCGTAGCTGATACTGTTTGGCATTGTCTTGTAGTGTTTAGCCATGTTTCTTATTTTGCCAAGGCCATTGAGTAAGCTATGTACAACTTTGACTAACCATATAGTATGTGTATATTTTTATTATAGGAGTGTTTTGCTTTCCACTTTCTCTAAATGTATGCTTAAGCCTGGTTTATGCTCAGAAACCAGGCCATCTGCGTATGTCGAAATATACGCAGATATGCTCGCTCCACCCCACCCCTTCTGCAGACACTCTAGAGCACCTCCCCAAATTTGTAGGTGACCACAGACAGTGAAGAGAGAGAAAGGAGGCCACTGATTGGCCAATTCTACATCTACTCTACACTATGCGTATTTCCTGTTTGGTACCTAATGGCAGAAACTCTGGCTGTAATGCGGTCCACAATGCCTGGCACACCTCAGACACTATTCCAGACACCATACAGCTTTGTAGCTTTGTGAGACTGTCTGTCGGTGTGCACCCAAAGCCAAAACACACAGCGCCACGGCAAGCCTTTCAGGAACACTCACGGGTGAACTGTGTGTCGTCCGGCGTTGGATGAGGGGTTGTAGACTGCGAACAAGCTCGTCAAACCGACACACAAACACCCACAATCCTAGCTAGTTCGTGATTGTTCCTTCCATTGTGTCGTGGAATAACATCGCAGACCATGCTTCAGAATTGGGCGTAAATCAGAAATATCTGTATACACAGATAGTTTACACAGTCCTTTAGTATGATGGCTTGCTACAAGGTCAACCAAAGAATAAAATTGACAGTCCACTGCTACATGATCAACCAGTAAGAATGAACGCCATTCGTCATCACTCAAGGTCTCCCCCTTCCCCCAGGGATGGGTCACGGGGCAAGCAGTCTCAGCAGATACTCCAAGACTTCCCTCTCTGGAGATCCCTTCTCCAGCTCTATTGGGGGAACTTAAGGCAGTCCCAGGCCAGTTGAGAGACATAGTCCCTCCAGCGCGTCCTGGGTCGTTCCCTAGGTCTCCTCCCAGTGCCTGAGACACCTCACCAGGGAGGCGTCCAGGGGGCATCTGAAAAAGATGTCCAAGGCACCTCAGCTGACTACTTTCGAGGTGGAGGAGAAGCGGCTCTACTCCGAGCCTCTCTCGAATGACCGAGCTCCTTACCCAATCCCCAGGGGAGTGCACAGTCACCCTGCGGAGAAAGCTCATTTAAGCCACTTGTATCCAGGATCCAGATCCAGATTTCATGACCGTAGGTAAAAGTAGGAACATAGACCGACCGGTAATCATTTTTATCTGTGATCATTCTTCCCAGTTCTCTCTACACTCTAACATAAAATTTGGATCTATGACTACACAAGTTTTTTACTGGATATTTTCAGCTTTTTTGCCATTTTCTTTACACTTAGCAAGAGGTGGCCGTGCATGAGTATCTTAGCTAATTAGCAGTTTATTAAATGCCTGGACCAGCCCATCAGGCTCTGACAACCACGCAACATTCAAAGCAACCTAAGTTCCTCCATTTTGATGGTCAATGTTAACATAAACAAATCTCAACCTCTGTGTAGTCTGCCTTTTTTTTTCCCAGCAGCGACATTTGTTGCCAGTCATTTCTTTGAAATCTCCTAAAGCTTTTTTCAGCTTTTTGAACCTAATGTAAGTTTTGGCATAAAAAGCATAGGTTATCTTTTTTAAATAGTACCAGTTTCATGTAACTAGGTGTACCATTGACAAGGCCTCTTTACTTCCAACCTGTACAACTGGAAGGAGATTTTTTTCTTGAACTGGTTACAAAAGAAAGTAGAAAATAACAAAAAAATTAACAAAACTGAAATATTATGTGCATTTATTTTAAAAGGGTCTTCTACTGGTGTATGAGTAGAATTCTATGCAGCGAGACTACATATTTATCTCAAAAGAACAGTAAGGTATGCATGGTAACAATTGGTGCACTAGCATAAAGCATGGCTAGCAGTGTTTCCCCCAGCATAGCAGCACTAATTACATTAGTAACTATCAGATGACTTGGATCTTATAGACTTTAACAACCCAGAAAGTACTGTGCACTATATCACAACAGTTTGCATGCTTAAAGATATGAAAATCAAAGTGACTTTAATGGTGACAGCGTAGAAAGACAATGCTCCCACACTAACCCTATGAAAAGCTTTGTGCTAGTCTGTTTTCTGTATCATGCTGGATTTACCCATCCAGATCCTAAAATGGACCACAGAACTATAGTCTCATACAGTTAGTGTACAACTGTCAGTCGCTTGCTTGATAGCCCAGCATACCATAATTAGAAAGAGAGAAGGAGATGTAAAAACAGCTAATTTCAGTAGAAAAAGACTAGTACGAGTGTGAATCTAGAAATGAAAGAGGTTTCAAATAACTATGTGGCTAGAAAAGAGGTGCTGGTCGTCTAGCTATACTTATAAACATACTCATTAGTGCCATGTTACACATTGTATATGTCAAAATAGGTGAAATAGCAGAGATAGCAAGCACCAGAGACGGTATCACAATATTCTGTCTGAACTAAGAAGGGATTTCCCACCACCAACAATTCCTGCTTAGGAAAAAAAAAAAAGAGACATAGATATGGAGATCTAGATATGAAATGTTCTTAAATGTGAATGTGAAATTCCCACACTTATTAGGTGGGGAAGAATTTGGGATTAAACAGGTTTTATTAAGTTTTTTGTTCTGAGTTTTTTATATACGTACGTCCATGGGGATTCCTCTCAAAAGCACTTTGACAGCTACTATAAATTGAGGTAGCCTTACTGTTCACAATGTTGCCGTCAAATTTGAGGTCCTCAGAAATACTAAAGTAATTTTACAACAAAGATACCATCTACATATACATATATATATATATATATATATATATATATATATATATATATATATATATATATATATATATATATATATATATATATATATATATATATATATATATATGTATTGTGGTTTTTAATATTTCCTATATCAACTACATATGGATACATAGTGGAGCTAAAGAAAAATCTGCCTGTTATGTCATATAAATAGAAAAAAAAAATAAATTTCCCTCTTTGTAACAAAAACATAAATATTAAGATTTTTTTTTAAAAATGCTGTTGTAGATATACTCTGGTTTAAAAAATCAGTTTCTTCAGCAAATCTCGACCAGCAAATCTTGACCAGGATATCTTTGACAAAAAGCAATAGAAATTCTCTTATAGTTTCTTACGGAGATAGCAGGCACCAGAGACGGGATCACAATTCTTGTCATTGCAGTAGCAGGTTTGGTTGCAGTTGACTCCATATTGGCCAGGTTCGCAAGTCTTATTGCAGCTTGAGTAATGAGGAGATACAAAAGAAACTTGTTAAATATATAAATGGAATAAAGAGAGATAAAATGTTAGTGTGTAAAACCTGTTTTCTCTGTTTTTTTTAAAACATTTGCATGATTAAGCTTTCCTATCCAATGAGATTCCTCAAACTGTAAAAAGTGATTGTAGACCAAACATTTCTGCTTAAATTTACAACAATGTCGCAAAGGTTAAATGAAAGTGATAAAAGCAATTAGCTATGAAGCTGCTGAGGGCATAAACATGCTTTTTTAACACCATGTGCTGTCATATAACTTACTAGGTGCCATAAAAGCCTGGGTCACAAAGGCACTCTCCAGTAACAAAATGACAGATGCCATTAAAACAGTGGCTGCAGTTGTTCTCGCAGTTCTCACCATACGTGCCGTTGGGGCAGCGTACCTCACACCTATTGTATATAGAAAAAGATACCATAAATAATGTTCTATGACTTATTACAGATTTCTTGTGGAAATTCTGCAAGTCTTACCTGTCCCCAGTCCAGCCAGGATTACAGTGAGAACACTTCCCCTGAATAGGGTCACAGTGATGTCCATCCTTACAGGTGGGACACACTTCCTGGCAGTTTTCCCCAAAGAAGCCTTTGGAGCAGAGCTGATCACACCGTGTTCCGTTCCAACCTCTATCACAGGTGATGCACCGTCCCTCTGTCACCTTACAAGGCTGCTGACCTTTGCAGTGTCCACATCTGAGAACGTTCAATAAAGACAGATGCATTATTATTACTTATATTGTCAAAATCTTAATCTCATTGAGATTTTGACAATATTGCACAGATAATTTGATGATTTTTTCTTTGTCCAGTCCAGTTTCAAAACTTTAAATGTGTTCTTTTTCTGATCTGTATATGCACCACAAGTAAAATCCACGCGGTCACATTGACGAGAACTTTCAAATCAGTTGTTATTAATGGAAGGTAATGTAGAGTTAGCTGTTGTAAACAACAGTAAGTATCTAAAAAAAAAAACTGCACCAAATAAATTACAATAAATATTATTTTCCACTAAGGTACTGTGGCTGTTTAATTAACTTCAATCCCTTTGTACTGTGCAACACACAAACAATTTTGTTTCAATATGGCTTTTAAAGAAAGAAAAATAATAATTTTTACTCATAAATAGTTTATTCTAGATGGAACCCTATTAGATATCACTAATTTTCAAAAATTTGCTTTCCAATTTCGGTTATTTCATACCCAACATTTTCATTAGTGGGTGACACACCACACCCCAGGGTGACATACAGAATTTGAAAATGTTTGCATTATATAAGGGTGGAGACTAAATTCTCTAACAGATAAAAACATAGGTGAACATTTAGAGTTGAATATGTTAACTAGCACTTGATGGCAGTTAAAAAAATCAACTCCATAATCTTTTTTTTTTTTGTAATAAAAAGACATTTCTACAGCAACTGCTACAGTATCGCAATGCACCTGGTAAATAAAAATAATGACCCTTCAATCTAATAAACATTTCTGTAATAACTTTGATGAACATAAACAATATTGAAGTGCATTACTTTTTTACATTATCTGAAAAGATAAATGATATGCTTTGCTTTGTTATAATGTTTATACATTTTGAAATCCAGCTTCCATTTGTTCCTTTGCTATAGACTGATACAAGTCACATTTCATACTATAGAACCAAACTACATAATGATATGGATCAGAAAACGTTTTTACTTTTGTTTAAAATGGTTAATTTACTTTAGGCTCTACCCCCACCTGTTTCTGCAGTTTTGGCCATAAAATCCAGCAGGACATGGTTCCCTGCAAAACTTCCCACGGTATCCTGGTGTGCAGGTACATGAGCCGTCCGCCTTGTTGCACTTGCCGTGGACACACTGACATAATCTATCACACCGCAAACCCCACGTCCTGTCCTTGCACTGGCAGCGCCCCGTGTACTGCTCGCATGGCGAGCCATTGCAGTTGCATTGAATTGCACAGTTTCTTCCCATCCATCCAGGATGACACAGACATCGCCCATTATTGACATCGCAGACAGAGTTCACACTGCAATAGCAGTTGTTGTTGCAAAGTGAACCCCACACCCCAGGGTGACATGCACATTTTCCTGTGTCTTGGTCACAAGTACCCTTTTGGCATTGACAGGCATTTTCACATTTGGGTCCCCAACGATTGTGGTTGCAGGTGCACTTGCCAGTCAAGTCATCACACTGGCCATTAGGAAAACAGCTGCATTTGCCTTTACAGTCAGGCCCCCAGAACTTTGGAGGACACTCTGTTAAAACAAAAAGTAAGCAGGAAATGTAAAACCTGTTATGACAGAGTTATTGTAATGTTATTGACCTTAAAGAGATGTTCAGTAGTCAGAGTTAAATCCTAATAGAATTAAAGTGACTGATTTACAGATAACATATATTTACAAGTTTAAAATATAACAATATGTTCAATGAACATCAATTCTTAACACAGTCATTCGTCATGGAGTCACATAAAGCCAAAGAAGCAAACTTCCTTCTCTTTGACTTGTTAACTTTTTACCTCCTTGACTGCTAACATTGACGCCGATACACATAACATCAATTTCAAATTTCTTGCATTGGTTAACATTCAATATTGGATACTTTGAACGGTCTTAGACCCACCCACTTTATCAGATTTCCATTTGTCCTACAAATACCTGTTACCAAGTTGCCAATACCAGGTTGCCAAGAAAGGCTTCTTTTTTGGTGCCAAATGGCGCAGTAAAACAAAATTTGAGGTGTATTTTTCTCTCAACAGCCTTCAGAGCTGAGGGCAGGTGACTTATACAAGCAAACTGGCACTGCCACTCAAAGCACATTAAAATTGCCACCCAATTTATTTGTGATCTGACAACAGGTCAACAAGTGAAACCCCATTAATATCTCTATGCAACAACACTACAACTTCTCGGGGATCACAAGGCATTTGCAAAAAATGATACACAGTTACCTACCTTTTCTTTATAACAATATTCACCAGAGAAGTGGGTACATTATTACTAATGTGTTCTCAACCTCTACAATCAAGCTAAAAAAAATTTTTTCTTCAAATTTTATTCCACTGAATACTTGATGCAGTGTGAATATGTCAAATTACATTAACTTCTGTAGGACCAGAAGGGATTTTTAGCGCATCTAGAGTTGGTTACAATTTTATCTAATGTATTAGCATATTTAAATTTGTTTAACTGAACTAAACTTACTGAAACAGCATTCCATCAAGGTTTTTCTCTTGAACCTCCTCTGTTATTTACTGAGAGCAAGAGGTGTGATATCATTTTAACAATGAAGTTCTTTGACATTAGGGCTGCAACTAACGATTTGATAATTTGAAAATCAATTAATCTGTAGATAACTGTTTTGATTAATCGATTAATAATCGGATAGCCAAAGTTGCCTTAAAGAAGATTTTTTATGAAATTAAACCAGATGACACTCAAACTTTTCCACTGGAATAGTTCTGAATAGAGCATATTGGCATAAGAAAAAGTTTGTTTTTTTTTTTGTCTTAAATGCTAAATATTTATACACTTCTTTTTTTAATTTACCGTAAAGTCTCTAATATTGGCCTGTATTCCAATAGCGGCCGGGTCTCTAATAATGGCCGGTCTCGCTGTCAGAGGAGGTAAATAATGGCCGGTCTCTAATACAGGCCGGGGCTATAAACGTTTTTTCTGGGCATACCTCAACATTATACTTGTGGTAGTAACATACAAGTACCACAGCCCTGCGCAGCTGGACGACAGGCCCTGCTGCTGCCCGTCTGCGCGAGGAAGAGAACAGACACGCAGCAGAACATGAGGAGCAGCGCGAGTGATGAGGAGAATAAAGGGAGAGATGAAGAGGAGGAGGAAACTGAGGAGGAGAATTAAACAGAATTGGAGGATTTTTTTTTTTTTTTTTTACTTCAAACCAAGCGAGACATGGTAACTGTACTTTTTCAATAAACGAACCTAGTGTTTTATAGGTTCAAATAGACACAAAATCTCATTTTTATTCATTCCACTGGTAGTCTGTTTTGCTCAAATAGCAATAGAGGCCTGTCTCTAATACTGGCCTCTATCCAATAAAGGCCTGGACCGCGATGCACTTGAGTGAAATAAAGGCCCGGGCCTATATTAGAGAATTTACGGTAGATATAATTACTGCTCTAAGTAAGTTGCTCTGTCAGCTAAAGACATATTTAAGAGTCTCTATACTCCAGTTAACGATTTATCAATTAATACATTAGTTGATCATTATATCAACAATAGATTAATTAAATTAATGCAATTAATTGTTTCAGCCCTATTTGACACTAAATTCTTTTTGAGGGAGACATAACCAAGACAAGATGATGAATGCATATTCTAAGGAAGAGCCTTAGAGAATTATTTTTTTTATCTTGGTTCTCTTTATATCCTTGTCTTTGTTTTCTTTTATTATTTCAGACTTTTTTTTCTTTCTTCACTTTTTTATCATAAATTGCTTTTTTTATATCAAATTATCGTAATCCCACTTATCTTTTGGTTAAGCCAGAGTTGGTTTTGGTAAGATGCCACTTTTTACACTGTTTAGTCCATTAACTAAAAAGAAATAGGATGAGAACAAGTTGGGTTTCTCCATCTTCATGGAGCACAGTGTAAAGCATTACTCTCTCTCGTCGCAACAGAGCACTGCCATTTCTCTGGCCGAAAGTAGTCTTGAAAGTACTACTGTATTATATAAGTTCATGTATTTGGCGATAGTTCCATTTGTACAAAAATTAAGACAGTTCCACAGACAACTAAAAAGAGATACCCAAAACAGTAAGGCGACCTTGTTTGAAAACTACAGCTTGCAAGTCTATTAGATTGCTGACTGTAGGATATCATCAGTGTTAACTGTGGTACTTTATAAAGACGAGAACAGCAAAAATTGGTACAGTGTTTAGCTAAGAGATGTTAACTGGAGACCTTAGAACTTTAGATCTCGTTGTATAACTGTTTAATTCTTAGTATGGAATAAAATAAAAAATGTGGTATTTAAACCTGAGATTATATTAGAAGAACCCATGCCCTTTTAATGCTTCCATTTTTATTGCAAGGCAATAGCTGATTTTCCTATGAAAATAGCTCATAAAGTATTTTTTAGCAACCCTAACAAACAACCAAAAAAAAAAAAAAAAAAAAAGACAGACAAGCTTTGCCGGGAGAGGCAAAAAAATAAGCTCTTACTTGCATCACAGCTGGGTCCAAAATATCCATGTCGGCAGCGACATTCATTTGGCCTGACACACACCTCATTTTCATTGCAGGTGAAGTTCCCTTCACAGATGGCTGGAATATAAAAGAATAGCCCAGATTATTACAGTGGCTCACACAACAAGCTGTATGACATGTTTTGATTAATGCAAGACCTATTCCAACGTACGTGTCAGGCATTCATCTCCTAGCTGCCCCCATCCACTGCAGCACACCAATCCTGATGACCTGGAAAGGAAACAAACTAAAAGCTATGAGACACAGAGCGAGAGGGCAAAGATAGAGCGCTGATCTGAAATGAAGTAAAACAAACACATCAAAGAGGCTGCATCCACACCCAGCTCACGTCTCTTTGAACTCACAGTTCTTACAGATTCTCTGCCAAAGTATGCAGGGACACAGATGTGTGGCACACTTGTTGCATAATTAGCCCAATGTGCTTATATTAAGACTTTACAAGATAAAAACACCCCAAAATCTCTAACATCTACATTTAAGCAGTTTATCCTGTTATCTCACTCTTCCTAGCCTGTGAGAATGATGCATGAATATTCAAAGGAAACATTCTGCAGACAGTTTTAAGCTTGACAGGAAAGGACGGATGTGTCTCCTCTTCCTCCCTCTCCTGCGACCTCTGTGGGCCCCTGCAACACGTCAGCTTCCTCTAATGCTTTGAAGATGGTGGTTCCTCTTAGACAGAATGAAGGGAGCAGGACTGTACTTCATCCTGTCCAAACAGGCACGTGCCTAAGACAATAGATCTATCATCTTTTAATAGGGGTAAGATAGCATTATTTATTAATATTACTTCAGCATGTAACATCCCCTGGGCACCTTAATAATACACAATTTGATCCATGTAACATTTAATAGGGGGCTATCTTAATTTTTTTTTTTGGAATAGATTTAGCAAAGAGTTTAAGTCTGTAATGAAATATGGATATTTAAAATGTGTTTAATACAGCAGATGTGTTACCTGCATGTCAACGGTAAGAATATCCTATTCAAACACCTTCTTAAGGTGTTCTATTGAAATGAGATCTGGTGGCTGAGGAGGCCATTGGAGCCTTGTTCAGTGGAAGATATATACACTATGCTCATAAAAACAAGGAACCAAGTCGAACAATAGTAAGGCTGGCCATAGCATTTAATTTACCATTATTTACCATAGCACCTCAGTGTTGTAGCCGAATTCGAAACTCTTCCCACCAGCATAACGTTTCCAATCGGTTACCGTCCAATTTTGGTGAGGCTATGCAAACTATGCTGAAACTGTATAAAACATGATGTCTACTCTTTTCCCTGACGTCACCAAGGCCTTTTGTTCCAAACAGCTGGCACTTACTGCATACTTTCTCATTTTGCAAACAGTTTGTGATGGAAAACATCCCAGCAGATCTGCAATTTATAAAATATTACTATCCAGACAAATGGGCACTATGCCACCCTTAAATCTGCTTTCTCCACATATATATATATATATATATATATATATATATATATATATATATATATATATATATATATATATATATATATATATATATATATATATATATATACTGTATATATATATAAAATTTAGCACCATGGAGTTTTCATTTATCAAATATTACTTTTTTTCTGGTCCAACCTGAATGAAAGGCACCTGCCTTCACTGTGACGCTGCCTCTCCATGTTTGGAGGGCAGGGTCCACCTATTTCATTCCATCATCACAGAGCCACTGCAACCTGGTATCGCCGCACTTTGGCTGGTAAGACTCTTTCATTGAAAGCTCGAGGGAAGTCTCATGAATTTCAAAAAGTTTAATTTCAGCATTTTAAGCACCAGTTAAAAGATCATAAGTTGCTGTCACAGTGCAAATTAGGTGCTAAAAGCGTCAAACCATGCCTGGCCTCACATCATTATGTTGTTTACTGGACAGGCCAGGCACAGTTAAGGTAATTACTACTGGTCTTACGTAAAACATGGAGAGCAACTGTGTAATCAAGGAAAGGGAGGACCTGCTGCTCAGAGAGCAGATTTTCATGTGGATTACTAAAACATGCATGGATCAAGAAAAATACTCATTTATGAATTTGATGAAGGAAAAAGATTAAGTTAAGCGTTAAAAGTTACATAAAAGCTTTTGCATGCGATCCATAATATATGGATTGCTCTTAAAGTGCCTTGCATTTCTAAAGTGTGATGTACTTGTTTGTTATTTGTATTTCCTAATAAAGTGGCGATCCACTTGCCTGCTAATATTATAAACACATTGTATACAAATTGTATACAATCACATCGAAAGTGCTTTAAAATTATGCTGGTGAGGATTCACAATCATCCAGGTCATAGTCATTCCAAAAAAGTTTAAAAACAAACCACTGGACTTTGTTTCCAAGTTTAAGATGTTTCGCTTCCCATCTAGGAAGCTTTTTAAATTCAAATGTCAGAAATAGTTTTATTGGCTTTACACGGTAGCCCAACAAAACCTTGTTTTTGCTTAGGGCACGTGCAAGTTGAAACAGATAAACGGGTCCACCCCTTTGGAATGGTGGTCGTTTGGCTTCTTTTCTTAGCCTGCGATGCCCCATACCTGTCTATGTCTCTAAAAGGGGGTCGTTAGAGGGAATTGTTGGCCTGGCTGACCTTTAAAATGATGCCCTTCATTTAAAAGGTCTACAAGCACAAGGTTTGGTGTTTGATAGATTTTTTTTATCTGATTATTACATTACAAACATTTAGATCATGGACTTCTATAGTTTATGATACTGACACATGTTAAGTCTCACAGCTTTTTGGTTCCCAAGAATTTCAACCACCCTAACCTTGGTTATGGTGTAATGTGTTTTGAAAGGCTGCATTTACAGCCCAGTTAGAATATAATTGCCCTTCCAGCTAAATTAAGCAGCTGATTTTGTAATGGGAGAGCATGCTGGAAATGCTGATGAGTGGAAATACATTCTTCATCACTTCCTCCTATTCACATGATTCAGTGGAGAACTTTTAAAAGTGTTTTAACCTAACCCAGGAAAAAGGAACCCGTGGTACCATTCCCCTACTCCTTGTTGCACACTCAATTTGAGATTATTTCTATGTATAAACTGAGGAGAAAAAGAAAAGCTATGAGAAGTAGCAACCTTTTCTTAATCTATTCATCTAAAATACAATAATTTTGTTGTTTTCCTTTATAGAAGTGGTCATAATATACCAAAACAGCGTAGATCAGAAATTAGGAGATTTTGTGCACTTTTTTGCCCTTTCTCCAATAAACTAAATTTCGGGTTCCAAATAAGTAAATACATCACTGAATTACATTATTTCTCCATCTGGCAAGCCATTAAAAACATTGTGGTGTGCCTGGCCAGAAGGGTGAAACTTTGAACAGAGAAAGTTGTTTATTTTTTAAATAGGATGTAAACACAACTTTAGCATAAGGAAAAAACAACTCTTGATTATTTAGATTCTAACGGCTTTAGAAATAGCTGTGAGGGCCATTTCAGATCAGTCATTTTCAGCATGGTTAAAGTGAGTCCTATTGATTGCACATAAAGAATCCCCTTAATCAACAACAGAGGTCCCTGTTTAAACAGAATAAACACAACTTTGAATACCCTAATTCAAATCTGTCTTTTAAGGTAGGATGTGAAGACGCATAACATTATGCTAAGCTTTTTCTAACCATTCTGTAAAAGTAAAAAAAAAAACAATCCACTGGACTTGGTTTCCAAGATTTGAAGACGTTTCGCTTCCCCTCCAGGAAGCTTTTTCTAACCAGCAGCCTTTTTTATAATTCATAGACATCATGTTTGGAGGGTTCAGTCAGTAATTGTGGAATTGGATGCTTTTCCATTTTCACAAGAGGCCAGATATGCACTAAAAGAGATCTGTACAGGGTGGATTATTAACATAAAGCTTTGGCAAAGGATTTATAAATGTCAAAGTTGACTTTTAAAATTAAACAAGTGTTACAAAAAGGTCTTAGGAAGGCCATCGGTGTACATTTGGAGCGCCAACTACAGATAAAAACACTTCTCCAGATGTTGGCACATCTGCCTTCTGCAACAGCCTACATCCCTCCTGCTGCTGCTTCAGTGGACAGAATTTTCCATTTTAAACCTACATAACTTGACAATTATACTACAATTTAAAAGCATTTAAAAGTTTCATGATTTTACACATTTTACTTGCAGACAAGTTGATATAAAGTTTTTAATGTCAGAGAAACCATTACTTTTACGCAAAATAAGAGAACTTATTTTTTCAATTTTTATCTAAAATTTTTAATGTCTGTTTTTGTTTAAAGCAGGCTGGGTTTGCACAAAAACTGTGAAACTGCTTAATAAAATCACACAGGCATTTTTTTTTTTTTTTTACCCCCCGCATGAACTCTTACCCGGGTGCTCTGCACACATTCCTGCCTTTAGCGTTCAGTTCCTGGCTGGAAACGGAGAAAAAGAAAAGACAAAGCAGCGCAACGGCATTAAAAGAGTTCTTCATTTCCATTGTAAGAGCAGCAGCATCCTAAAAGTAGACGCCACTCTCACTCCACATTTCCTTTTCTCCAGCTCTGTTTAACAGCGAGGTTTCACTTCTCGTTTTTCCACTATTGTTTCTTTCATAATCCAGACGTGGCCAGGGAATAAAAAAAAAAATACTTTAAATCCACGGTCTTTAGGTGTCCCAGCACCTAAGCTGCAGCAAAACCCAGCAATCCCGACGGTAGCTTCAATTATATAGACAAAGGACACAAAATCCAAACTTTTGGTTTTCTAGATGCTTCTTGTGCGTGAAGTTTAATCCATTATGATCCTGCAAAATGCTTAACACCCTATGAAAAGAAAACAAAAATCCCCTTAACTTGTCTACAAGGTTGTTTAGATTTTTGTCAAACTTTTTCTTCTTTTAACTAAGCTCAACAGATGAGTTCCAATATCCTCCCTGGGAAACGCGCCCGTGCGTAACTTTGGTCCTTCTCTTGCGCTCTCTGGAGTGGCAGAAGGGAAATTCCTGATTTGTTACTCTATCTTTGGCTTAAGCGCCATGCCTCCGCCACTAAAATTTACATAGGCCTGCATGCAACAGGACGCAACGCGGTCCGCTCCAATGGCACACGCTAAAGCACAAAGGCTAAATGATTTACGCATAAACACTAGAATATCAGATATCAATATATTTACTACTGTTACAGTTCTAAATATGTGCGTTAGGCCTAAATGTTTCACAAATACTCTTCGTTCCAATCATTGGTACAATAAACAATCTTAATAACTTCTTAATCATATATCTAGTGACCTGTAAAAACATAGAACATGTCTCAATAGATCATAATTTATAGAAAAGGGTCTTTGTTTGTAGCTGAAAGACAGAAGCGTTTCAAATGGTACAATAGCCCCCCCCTCAGGAATAAATGAAACTGACACATGGCACCTCCAGTAACCTTTACTGTGAATAAAAATGTTTCTCAGTGAAATGAAAATGTAGTTATTTTGTTACATCTGCATATTATGATATAATGTATTAGATTTAAAAGAAAACTTTGAGGACCTTTTTTTTTCCATGAAAAAGGCAAGTCGTTCATTTTCTGTATACCTGTTTAGAAATGGGAATCTAAAAAGTGTGGCAGGGATATGTCTCTATTAGTTTCTAACACAACTAAAGATTACTGCTTCTGCTTTCAATGGCACAAACTTGCAGTCAGTAAATAAACTGTTAACATTTAACTGTTGTTGAAATTTCAGAGTTAGCAAAACTATTATCTTCAACTTGTATGTTAGATCCAGTTCCAATCAAGATATTTTAAGAAGTATTCCATCTGATTTCTGTCTAATTTTACTTTCTTATCTGAAATTCTTCAGAAAATAGTTGCCAAACAAGTGTGTGACAGCTTACACCATAATGAACTTTCTGAAGAGTTTCAGTTCAGCTTTAGAGCTCATCATAGCACTGAAACCGCTCTGGTGAAAGTCGCTAATTAGACCTCAGTGCTGAATTTGATACAACTGATCATAACATTCTTTCAGAGAGACTTGAATGAGTGTTGGCCCAGTGCCACTTTTGCTCTGAGAAGGTTGCAAGTCACTGGTTCGATCCCCATTGCCTCCACTCTGGGTTCCTGAGCAAAATCCTTAACCCCACACTGCTCCTTGGGCACCACAGTGACAGCCCACTGCTCTCCAAGGGTAGCCTGATAAACCAGACTTAAGGTGAGACAAAATTTGTAATTTAGTCCAGCCCCGATGAATGAGACATCGGAAGATTGTTGATGAGAACAACCTGTTGTCTTTCAAACCATGTCTGTGCCTATTAGCCAATGCTTTGATCAATGGGCGCAACTGACTGTGACATAGTAAGCGTGACAGAAAGCTGGTGGGGTTGTGTAAACAAACAGCATTTGAAACAGCTCTCGTTAAAATGGCTAAATACATCCTTCTTAAAAATGAATGAGCGTAGAGCCTCTTCCTGCTCACGTTTCAATGAAAACCCCAAGTCTAATCCTTCAAAAACTGATTCCAAAGCTGAGTCCAACGACAACTGTTCATTAGTTGTTGCCATCTTCCTTGTTGTGCTTTCTCCAGCGTCGTGCAGCTTTGTCGTCACGCCCTCAAAACCCCACCCGCTTTGCATCCAAAAATTAAAAACAAATCTCTGCGTTGTGATTGGCCAGTTAGTTCTTGGGCCTGGGGCATTGATCGAGGCTAGATCACTTGCAGGCAAAAATTATTTTGGCCGCTGGCGGGTGGCGCTAGTTTACTAGGCTACCCCAAGGTGATAGGTCAAATGCAGTGAATGAATTTTCCCTAGTGTGGGACAATAAAAGGGATTTATAGTATTTTGTAGGAATTAAGGTAACAACACTAGGCTGATTAAAAGTCTATTTATCTGACTGATATTAGTTTATTCACTTTAATGATATTTGTTCATGCACCAGGGTTACCTGTGGAGTACCACAGGGATCAGTGCTAGGACCAATTCTCGTTACTATATATATGCTCCGAATTGAACAATCAGACAGCATTGGATTAATTTCCACAGTTATGCTTTTAATACTCAGCTATATCTGTCTATAAATCCAGATGAAGCTAACCCATTACATAGACTACAACAGAGGTCACGGAGTAGCGGACCGCAATCTGGATCTGGACCTGGACCCCCCAGCTGGCTAATCCGGACCCAACGTGATTTAAAACATTTATAAATGACAGCATTGCTAACGTTATGCTCTCTCTGCTTTTTCTTATCATATTAGCTTCAGCTGGTCTGTTCCTGTTTGGCTGTGACACCATCCTGGAGAGAAATAACAGCTGTGCTGCTGCCATTGACACATTTGTTGATAGATGTTGGAGCTTGGCCGGTTTTTCAGTGTAGTTCTGTTTCTCTTACTGTGACTAACTCTATGTGCTCTCTTTCATCCTCTGCTGTGGGAGCTGGCTTGGAGCTTGTCTGCTTGGCTGTTTGTTTCCTGGACGGGGCCGCCTGTGGAGCTGATTGACAGTTACCCTTTGTATGTTTCCGTCTTTCTACATGTCTGCTTCTGTCTCCTTAAACCGCAGCCGGCCTTGGGAGATCACTTCTCTTACTGAGCATGGTTTTGCTGGCTGGTTCTGGTTCTTTTAAATGTCACCATTTATTTTGCTAAAACTCCTAAAGACAAACATTAGGTCCTATCAAAATCCCCACATTTTTCCACGTTTGTTGGCTTGAGGTAACCTGCAATGATCCATTTTTTTTCCTAAACAATGGTTTCTTTTTGCCAATGTTCAAGAGAACACCACCAACGGTTATGAATACTTAAGTTGTGGATCTTTTCAGATTCTGTACCATTAGAATGGTCCATTAACTGTTTCTTTTATAAACATAGTGTTCAGATAGAAAAAAAAAACAAAACAAAGCAACATTTGAAGCCTTCAATAAATAATTGGATTAATACTGAGATTAATTACACATAGATGCTCCCTATTAACTGTCTTATTCCAAGAACCCCAAAGTTTACCTAGAAACAACAGATGAAACTTTAAGGATTTTTTGAAAATAATCAGAGATCAACAGGAAGCAACCGGCCACAGATTCAGAAACCTCAGGAGGGAGATAAAAAGGTTAGCCACTGGAGAAGAAATTAAAAATAAAACGATCTTAGGATCAGTAGAGCAGGGATACTGAAATTCAGCTTCTGCGGGTTTGACAGGCAATGAATGGGACTTCTTTGTTAAACAAGGATGCTTTATACAACTTTAAGGGTATTAATAGACTGATAAGAAAGTTTTTTGTACAGATATGTAGTCTTGATAAAATGTATTATACCTGGATATTGTTCTTTCAAACTGAAAAAAACCCTTAATGAACAACACTGTCTATTAAACTTCACAGTATATTTTCAAGATGGTGTATTTTTAAAATATTCAAACTAACTGATCCATCCATCCATCCATCCATCCATCCATCCATCCATCCATCCATCCATCCATCCATCCATCCATCCATCCATCCATCCATCCATCCATCCATCCATCCATCCATCTTTTCTCACTTTTTCTGTCAGGGTTGCACATCTGTCTCTGGCAGTATATGGGCAAGAGGTGGGGTGCACCCTGGACAGGTCACCAGTCATGTTTTCAGACTGTGGGAGGACGCCGGACTTTCCGGAGACACACATGCACAGGGTGAATATGCATACCCTATGCAGAAAGATCCTGGGCAGGTAATCGAAACTGGAAACTTCTCGCTTCAAGGCAACAGCGCTATCCACTTCGTCACCATGCATGCACCTCCTTGCATTTTCAAATTCTCTTTCTAAAATCAAATTTCATAATGTCATATTTTTAACACTGACTTGACCCAGCAACACAACTGCTTAAAACAACTGTTTATCACTTAAAATAGGCAGGCTGAAGTTGTTAAGGCAAAACTCAACCTGCATGTTCTTTTTTTGGGGGGATATGTCTTGAGCTACTTACTGATCTTGCAGCCTAAATAGAAACATTTTATCAACACCTTTTTTTCATAAAAAAATGTAAATGCCACCAGAATTCCTTTTAGTTTGATAGTTTGAATGTGTTTTGCTTCAGTATGTCCAAATTAAGCCCCATAAAAAACTGTCCAAGTGGAATTATTTATCCATCTATTAAGGTGGATTAGAAATTTGTACAATAGATAAAAGCTCAAATGAAGTATTGAGAAAGTAACATAAATGTTGTCACAAACCATAAATTTTTTTTTACATGTTCTCATGATACTCCAGCTTTATTAAAAATAGATGCACAATGTATGCAACTGAGGATGTGTTTTTAAACAAATCTGCAACACAAATAGCAAAAATGCAGCAATACAAAATGTTATAATTATTTTATAAATTCTATAATTATGATTTTTTTACAAAAGGGATTTTATTCCAAACTTCCAGATGATAGTGTGATTCATTCAATTCATTTAATGAATCACATTTAAATACCCACCAGTTTGGACCAACAGATACAAACACTCCTTTATTCCCTCTGCTGTTCGGCTGCTAAACTCTACCAGGAAAAGCAGATAGCCATATGTTACACGCATATAGGCCTATGCTCTCATTCATCCCCTGCACTGCATATATTTATTTACTTTTTATTTTTTATTTTTCTCTCTCTTTTATCCACCTTACTTTTACCTTTTTAAATATTTTATGTTTCTTGTGTTTTTTTTGTGTGTTTTTTTATCTGTGATTTGTGAAATGTGAACGTGTGTGTGAAAGGTGTACTGCTACTACACAAAAATTGCCCATACTGGGACAAATAAAAGCTACTGAACTGAACTGAACTCGTTGGTAGAATGAAGCAGATGATGGTTTGTGGGAATGTGAAGGCTGCTAATAGTCTATTGTAAGGAAAGCTAGTTCTCCATTTTCAGTTCTATACACATTTCAACCCTTACCTTTGATCATGATAGTTGGACCATAACTCAAGAAATTATATACGGAAGAAGCTGATAAAGCCTTCCTTCATAGAGTCTGCTAGTGCTGCTGCTCCTCCCCAATACAGATATTAAGATAAGTCAAGTATCTTTGGTGCATTTTTTCTGGTTTTATGTGGCAACAAATAGATTCTAGTGAAATTCTAGAACTTTCTGGTATAGAAACACCTTGCAATCCCCTATAAACAGAAGGAGATACAAATAATATTGATGAAACAAATATAACAGTCAGTCTATGAAAAACAAAACAAAGTTGTTTATAAAATTGCAGCGATTGTATGCTAAAAATCAGTCAGTCATCCGGGTCTCTGTCTTCAGAATGACACAGGCCACTGTATGTTATTTATGTTCTCGATAATAAGCTTTTCAAACACTGGCTACTTCTGAAATACAAAAATAATCTTTCCAAAGTCGGACTGACTTTGAATTCAAATGCAAAGCTATATTACCTTAAATTTTTATTTTTATGTTTGAAAACCTCAAAATACATTATTAGAACAACTGTAATGATGGCCGGTCTACATCAGTACATGGGCCATTATCAAGCACTGGAAAACCTTTGTCTTTGAAAACTGAGGTGAGAAGCTGCATTCAGAGCAGAGGCAAGAGCGTCACATGCTTTCCACCAATCAGGTGATTCTCTTCTGTCAAATCGACTTCTTGTTTATTTACACTGTAGTGTGCCAGGAAGTAGCAAGATGGTTCACTAACTTAATTGCTTCATTCACTTCTACCATATCATTACCAGTTGTTTTGTGTCAAAGCCATACCAGCCCCCAAGAGGGCAAATGCAGAAAATAACCTAAAGCTGTTCTTATTAAACCGAAGACTCCGGTCCATCTTTTTCTCCATCTCGACGACCCTGCAGGCGAACCATGCCCCAAGCTGGAGCAGAGCCAAGCGTCCATCGGCCTGTCTGCATTATCCTTGGAATCCTTGTGATTATCCTTGGAAGTGTGGGAAAGCTTGGGGAGGCCGCCGTAACTTTTCCTCCCCTGCTAACAAGATCTCAGTGGACTTTGAGCAAAGCCAGGAGGCTTACAGGAGCAAAGACTCATTAAAGCTGCTCAGAAGTTTGGTGGTGTTTCATCTTTGTTCCTATGACATCCTGGTTGATAACAATAAAGGTGGTAATCAGTTGGAGTAATAAAGAAATCAAGCTATTTCTAGGGATTGCAGTTCTTATTTGGTGGGCTCAGACTTATTTAACAGTATGACATTAGTAACTATGTATGATACACATATAACTCAGATTTGGATGTTTCTAAACTTCAAAGGGAGCAACTGGCAGGGACACCCGACCTACTTAATTACTGTCTGCAGGCATTATCCTGCTACACTAATTATGATTTAATAAAAAGACGTTGCTGATAACACTCTCTCCATGCAAATGTTCTGGTTACAATCACTGTAGCTAACTTAAAGCTAAACTTTAAAATATATGCTATGAAAACAGTGATAGGTTAAAACCATAAACTGAAAACCACTATATTGTTTAAACTAATTTAGTGTTTCAGCCTGCTAACCACCTAAACATCATAAAATACACCCTTGTCTCAAATTGGAACCTGTCCTTGCATGTTTGTGTTGAATAATGTAAGCCAGATGCTATTTATAAAACAGACTACAGGGTTCAGTATTAAAGTTTCTATTTGCTTACACTATAAAATATCATAGCATGTTATCCATCTTTAATCTATATTAAATAAAATAATTTGATATTTATCTTTTTTTGTCAAAACTGCCAAAAGTTAAGATTAAAGTCGAGTAGGGAAGCGGCTGTTCCAACGGTTGCAGTTCTGAATTATCGCGCGTGGTGCCCGACTTAACACGAGTGAACAAAGTGAATGTGATTGGTCATTTATCAAGGGGGGCAGGATTGTTGTGGGGGAAGTTTGCAAGCAAATTTGGTTATGGCCCATGTCTCGGAAGCATCTTGCTAAACAGTTAGTAACTTAGTGCTAGTAGGTTCCCAATGGGGAATTACATTGGGACCAAGCAGCATTTAGCAATGACGCTGTCAAGGAACGCTATGGACATATTCAACATGCAAGAGGAGGAGAGTTTTGTGTCGGAGGTCATGGAGGAGTCTCCTCCATCATGCATTTTTTATTTAGAGGAGGAAAGTGGGGATGAAGTTGTTGTGGAAGAGGACGCCAGGGTGGCAGAAGCTTGGTTGGGTGTAGAAGACTTGCAGCCGGCTTTTTTTTTTTATTAGAAATGTTCTAACTTTTGGGACAATATGGTCTGATAAAGAGTACATTTATACACATGTTTAAGCCAAAATTATTTTAAATTTAAATATGACTTCTCTACGACTTTAAGGTTAATGTTGACTTCTTGCAGTCGAAACAAAAGTATTGTCAAGAAGGTGTACTGTCTATTTAAATTTCAATCTGAAAAACTCACCTGGAATGAAAAAGTAAATTAGAAGAATTTTATCAATGAAATACTTTAGTCTTTGGTGCTCAGACGTCGGCAGGAAACATTAGTGCTTAATTTTGTTTGATATGCATGAACAGGGCTAAAGAATAGGGATGTTTCCCCCCTGGCCTGACACTGGTGGTGGAGTGGAGATAGATAAAGTTGGTCAGTCCATAGACTTCTGGTTGATGACATGGTGTGCTTGAGCTGTATGGAGAGATCCAGTGGACTGCGTGAGCTGATGCTAGTGTTTTACTTACAGACCTGGAAGATGAAAGTCCAACTTGGATAACACAGGTTGCGTGAACCTGTCCATGATAAGCAAGAATTAAGCAACAGTGGTGAGGAAGAACTCCCCATTGGGAAGTAACCTCTGGCAGAACCAGGCTCAAAATGGCGGTCTTCTGCAGAACCCATTGAGATGAGACAGAGGACGCAGTAAGAGTCCGGGAGGAATGACACTCTGATGAAGCTTCAGCTATAGTATACGATGGTGGAGGAATGACCTCAATGAATTAGGGTCATCTGAATCAAAGTGAGACAAAGCGCAACCACTGCCTGCGCTTTGGGTAGCAGACTGTGTTGTGGATTGGAGACCTTTAAAGATAAACTCTGGATGCTGAGTGGGCTTTCATGGAGGAGTGGTTTAAGCTGATTAGCTTGTGTCGGAGGCGGATGTAATGAGTTTTTTCAATTGAACTTCCGCCTAGGCTCTATTTTAAACATATATTAAATATATGAGTATAGGAATGTTTTCCAGCATTTTCCTTCTTCATGCACTTATGCAGACTATTGTTAGGAATATTATTTTGTGATGAGCTGACAATGCCATGGCCTATCAGACTTACATTATTTGTTGTTTTGGCAGAATCAAAATGCTGAATCAAAATCAACATATTTGCAGTTTTCTGTATACCATCTAAGTACTTTACCTAAAACTATTTTCACTTCACAAAACAAAATTATGACTAATTGTATTTCTGGCAAAGAGAGCATGAATGCAGAGTACTTAGGTAATTGGCTGACATTTATTGCTAATGACTGTCCACCCAGTGATATTTCAAGAATTATAAAGACATATTCTGCAGACATTACATTCTGGCGATTATCACAAACTTTATTTACGCCTCAGTGGTTTTCAATACTTCCGAATGAACATAACAACTACATCAGCTAAAAAACAGCAGTGTAATATTTGACACCTCATGGTCAGTTTTTATGTTTCTACGTTGCTAGATAAATAAACACAAATTGAATGCCATGCTTTCACTATATATCTCATAATCTAAAAATGAAGTAATGCTTTCCCTTTTTTCCTAGACAGAGGAAAAAAGGGAAAAAATAAAATCTTGGCCAGAAGGTTTTTAATAAGCTCATGAAGATGACCTTGGCCAGTTTGTTGCCTGGGACGATCACATATCCATCAAACCTCTGATCCAGATGAACCAGGCTTTTGGCATAGGCTCCATCCTGGTCTACAATGCAGTGGAAGACATCAGCCCCAAAGAAGAAAATCTGAAGGAGGAATACACTTTTTTTGTTTTATAAGAGAAAGTATTCAGTATAAGTTAGAGACTGATGACATATAAAATAAATGTAAATTTCAGAAATTATTAAACTTCAAAAGGAAAAAAAAATAGGAGTAGAACTGTTGAAGAATTAAGATTATGATGTTAACCATGATGTCTTGGCATATCTGTGGGAACCCCATTTGGACTAGCAGTATTGTGTCACTTGTTTGGTCACATGAGCAGCACAAGGCTGCGGCTATCTGATCTGATCTGCCTTCTAATATAAACTTGGTTGACAGTGAAATCTTTACCCAACTGCATTCTCTAGACAGCAGAAATGCTGCTTCAGTTTTTGCTCTGAGCGTTCATGCATATGTAAAATAACTAGAACATTTTCACAGTCCAAGATTAAATATGGACAACCTTACCAACCTCTCTGTTACTGGAGCCAGTTTTGTGAATAAAAGGAAATCTTTGGATGTGCATTTCTTAGAAGGTGAATATAAAACTTAACTTTCTTCAGATTTATTTAACATATTTATTGAGCTGAAATTCTGACCTTGTACATGTTCTATGAAACCTCATGTTTTAAAAGGTAAAAGGTAATAAAATGTTGTATTTTATGGCTGGGTGGTTAGAGTGACAACTGACTAGTGTTAACTGCAACATTAAGAAATTTCTGTTTTGGTTGTCATATCCATACACTTTATTACAACCTACATGCCTGAAATGTACAGTGTATGAAAGAACACTGCTCTTAAGGATTTATTTTCACAGTTTTTTGCTTTATGTTTGATGTATTAATATAAGACAGGGCAGAGGTACCATGATTTAAAATAAAAGGTTGCATTCAAAGTTTGATTTCATTTAGTAAGGTTTAAAAAGTTAATCTAAACCATCTCAGCCTTATATAAAAAACATCATTTTCTCTATATTACTCATGACTGCTATGCTTGGTTGGTATTAACAACCTACCATTAACTGCATCACTGATAACCTTTAATCAGTCTTTGGTATTTATGTAGATCATTTTGGCCCATCTTTTATGCATAAATGTATTACCTCAACTCCATTGTTGCTAGGGTCTCTGGGGTTTTGCTGTTTTTCTGGTGTAAGTGAGCCAGGTGCAGATATAGGAGAGACACACTTAATATGGTACACCATCAAGCGTTCCAAGGATTTTTATCAAAATAATAATTAATGTGCACAAATAAGGAATAGTTGTATCAACTATACATATACAACTAGGAAGGGAGGAACAGCCTCCGCTGTTCCTCCCTTCTTGCTCCTCTGCCCAAATATTTTTGTTGTTAATTTTGTTGTGGATTTTTGTAACAGGGAGGGATAAATAGCAACATATAATCTTTACATTTACATTTTATCAAAAACAATAATGGCTTATTTATAATGAAAAGCACAGCTGTATCTATGCACACATGAATAGAAAATAGGTTTATGATTGTGAAAATATATTCCTATTAGGTTTTACCATAACTTTATTAAAGGACACATTATTTATATCCTGGCCCTGAAGCTTATTTTTCATTCATCTATACATGTAATGACAAAACATATATTTTTGTTGTGGCTGCTTCAAACTGCTTATGAGAATGATCCAGATTAAATGATCTTTTTTAATGGCTGTAATTTAATCGGAATATAAAAATCTAACATAACTGTCTAATAGTGACACGGATTTTAATCCAGGCTGTTGAAGGCTACCCAATGCACTGCAGGTGTCCAGGATGCAGTATAAACAACTGAAGGCCATTTCTTTTTATAGATATCATTATGCGGAAAAAAAAAGTTTTTAAATTTTTATATATATAAAAAAGTTTCATTTTAATTTTTTGGCCTGTCCCTGAACCGAATGTTATGTTGCTTACAAGGGAAGAAGACAGAGAAGTCGGAATGACCAGATAGCACTAATAACCACTATCTATTGATTAATATTATTTATCTTAGGAAATGGAAGAGGCGCATTCCTGGATTTCACACTTGATTTTTGTTAGAATATTAATAAATAAGCAAAAATGTATGAAAACATTGCTGTCCCCATTTCCTATTTTAATTTTCGTAAAATGCATTCGTTTTCATCTATGAGGTGGAAATGTCCCCAGATTAGATTACAGAAATCTGGTCACCTTACTTCAGGGGCTATATGTAGATTGTGAGGGGCACTCTTTAGTTCAGAAATAAGAGTAGATAAATCAACGAAATTAAAAGGTGAAATAATAGGAAACTAACTGAGTTACCAGAAACAATGTTTTAAGAGAGGACATAATAACAGCAAGTAAGCCAGCCTCTTATTTATAATGGCATCTAATTTAGGGGCACTGACTGAAAACATTTGCTCTCTTTTCAACTTCCTTCTGGCTTTGGGATAAAACAACAGTAACGCATCAATATACCTGAGAGAGAGTGAGGTACTACACTTTTAAATCAGGTTTAACAGCTAATGAGGGACAAGACCATGTAAACACTTAAACAATTAATAAAACTGTATACTGTAGATGCGTTGATCCATCCTCATCATGTCTCAGATAAATTTGTCCTACAGTTCATTTTTAAACCTTTTTTGTTTTTCTTTCAGATCACTGAGCAGCTTTTTCTGTCCATTTTCTTCCGCTTTATCCGGGGTGTCGGGTCATGGATGCAGCAATCTAAGCAGAGATGCCCAGACTTTTCGATCCACACACACTTCCTTCAGCTGCTCTGGGGGGGACCCCGAGGCGATAACATGACCATAGGTGAGGGTGGGAACATAGATCATTCGGTAAATTGAGCAGCTTTCTCATCAACAGTGATGTTAAGTTCAGACCGCAAGCAGAAGAGGCAGCAAAATCAGCTAGTTTACATGCAAAGGAAATGGTTGACATGCATCAAGGTGCAGCAAAAGGACCTGCAGCACGTCTGAGCAGCAGAAGCAGCGTATATATATATATATATATATATATATATATATATATATATATATATATATATATATATATATATATATATATATACACTATATTGCCAAAAGTATTTGCTCACCCATCCAAATTATTGGAATCAGGTGTTCCAATCACTTCCATGGCCACAGGTGTATAAATTCAAGCACCTAGGCATGCAGACTGTTTTTACAAACATTTGTGAAAGAATGGGTCGCTCTCAGGAGCTCAGTGAATTCCAGCGTGGAACTGTGATAGGATGCCACCTGTGCAACAAATCCAGTCGTGAAATTTCCTCGCTCCTAAATATTCCACAGTCAACTGTCAGCTGTATTAAAAGAAAATGGAAGTGTTTGGGAACGACAGCAACTCAGCCACGAAGTGGTAGGCCACGTAAACTGACGGAGCGGGGTCAGCGGATGCTGACGCGCATAGTGCGAAGAGGTCGCCAACTTTCTGCAGAGTCAATCACTACAGACCTCCAAACTTCATGTGGCCTTCAGATTAGCTCAAGAACAGTGCGCAGAGAGCTTCATGGAATGGGTTTCCATGGTCGAGCAGCTGCATCCAAGCCATACATCACCAAGTGCAATGCAAAGCGTCGGATGCGGTGGTGTAAAGCACGCCGCCACTGGACTCTAGAGCAGTGGAGACGCGTTCTCTGGAGTGACGAATCGCGCTTCTCCATCTGGCAATCTGATGGACGGGTCTGGGTTTGGCGGTTGCCAGGAGAACGGTACTTGTCTGACTGCATTGTGCCAAGTGTAAAGTTTGGTGGAGGGGGGATTATGGTGTGGGGTTGTTTTTCAGGAGCTGGGCTTGGCCCCTTAGTTCCAGTGAAAGGAACTCTGAATGCTTCAGCATACCAAGACATTTTGGACAATTCCATGCTCCCAACTTTGTGGGAACAGTTTGGAGCTGGCCCCTTCCTCTTCCAACATGACTGTGCACCAGTGCACAAAGCAAGGTCCATAAAGACATGGATGACAGAGTCTGGTGTGGATGAACTTGACTGGCCTGCACAGAGTCCTGACCTCAACCCGATAGAACACCTTTGGGATGAATTAGAGCGGAGACTGAGAGCCAGGCCTTCTCGTCCAACATCAGTGTGCGACCTCACAAATGCGCTTCTGGAAGAATGGTCAAAAATTCCCATAAACACACTCCTAAACCTTGTGGACAGCCTTCCCAGAAGAGTTGAAGCTGTTCTAGCTGCAAAGGGTGGACCGACGTCATATTGAACCCTATGGATTAGGAACGGGATGTCACTTAAGCTCATATGTGAGTCAAGGCAGGTGAGCAAATACTTTTGGCAATATAGTGTATATATGTACAGTACAAGATCAATAGAGGCCATGGTCTACCACTCCAGGCAGGACCCCCGATGCAGACTGTGCAAAGATGCCTCTGAAACAATACAGCACATAACAGCAGGGTGTAAAATGCAGGCAGGAAGTGCATACATGGAACGCCACAGCCAGGTAGCTGTCATAGTGTACAGGAACATCTGCCATGAGTATGGGCTGGAAGTCCCAAGGTCAAAATGGAAGACACCTCCTAAGGTAGTTGAGAATGACCGAGCTAAGATCCTATGGGACTTCAAGATCCAGACTGACAAACAGGTGATGGCTAACCAACCAGACATCGTGTTGATCGACAAACAGCAGAAGAAGGCAGTAGTGATAGATGTGGCAATCCCAAGATCAAGAAGAAAGAACAGGAGAAGCTTGAGAAATACCAAGGGCTGAAGGAGGAGCTAGAAAAGATGTGGAAAGTAAGAGCAGCAGTGGTGCCAGTGGTAATTGGAGCACTGGGGGCTGTGACCCCCAAACTAGGAGAGTGGCTACAGCAGATTCCAGGTAAAACATCAGAGGTCTCTGTCCAGAAGAGTGCAGTCCTAGGAACGGCTAAGATACTGCGCAGAACCCTCAAACTCCCAGGCCTCTGGTAGAGGACCCGAGCTTGAGGATGAGACATACCACCCCACGAGGGGTGAGAAAACAGTTTTTATACATATAAATATATATATATATATATATATACACACACACTTGCATACATGCCATGGGGGTTGAATGCATTACTTATTGTATTCTTTGAAACATTTCTTCGCTCTAATTTTTCTGAAGCTCTCCACTAGTCGTCTTTGGCTCTGGAAAACTCCTCTGATAATTCTTTTCACTCAGTGATGCTATGAGATGAACTGAGGCTTTGAGGTGTGTGTCAAGTGGTGGAGGGGGCGTTCCGCGAAGCGTGTATTGAGGCTTGCTTCATGTAGGGGAGGAGCCATTATTGATGACGTCCGAAGCCTGGCTACTCCACCGTACCACATGACCATTTCGGATGTGGTTCAAATCGGCCGTCAACCTCAGCAGGGCATTTAAAAAGCCTCGGTATTCAGTTAAGATGTTGGAGTTTGATAGGAGAGTTGGGGTCTGTTGGAGAGAGTTTTGATGTATTCTAAGCAGAGATGGCAAAAGTACTCACTTTCCGTACTTGAGTAAAAGTACAGATACTTGTGTTAAAAAATACTCTGGTAAAAGTGGAAGTACTGATTAAACTTCTTTACTCAAGTAAAAGTAACAAAGTACAGGCTTGTAAATTTACTTAAAGTATAAAAGTAAAAGTAGAAACCACTTTTTTCATGCCGTTGCCTACATTTTAAATGGATGTCTGCCAATAGGACTAGATCTCCGTTGTGTTCATTTCTAATCATCTCGTCGTCCATACTACTATGCTAACGCCACCGCCACCAAGCTGCGATGATTTGCCGCGAATGAATACTGCCGAATCTGTCGATTCATCTTGTAGTGGTGCGTCAAATGCAACGTAGATTCCCATCCAATTAGATTGAATTTGGTATTGATGACGTGAAAAATAATAACGGTAACTCCATTGAAATGATTCAAAACTAAAGTAATGAGCCAATTTTTTAAAATGTAAGGAGTAGAAAGTACAGATATTTGTGTGAAAATGTAAGGAGTAGAAGTAAAAAGTCGCCATAAAAATAAGTAGTAAAGTAAAATAAAAATATCAGAAAAATCTACTTGAGTACAGTAACGAAGTATTTGTACTTCGTTACTTCCCATCTCTGATTCTAAGAATAGATTGGTTGGAAACACAACCAATCTAGTTGTTCAATGCTATTTTGGTTGGATTAAACAATGAACTGACAAGGGGGCAGGACTGCCTTACTACTAGGTGTTTTAGGAACTGAACTAATTGAATTTGTTTGTCCCAACTATTCAGAATGAAGGAGCTGAGTTACTGAGAGATTTCCGCTGGTGTCGTGGCTTTCCATACCTTTTTGCACCTCCCTTTCTTCACGTATTTAATATTTTTTCCCTGTGCCATTTCACTTTATTACACTTAACTCAATTTCTGGACATCTATGGTTTGATTTCTTTGTATGTGTTGACTGCATGGATTGTTACCGACATCTGGTGAAAATATCATGTCAATAGCACCTCTAGAAATATATTTACTGAGAAAAATGGTGATGTGTTCATTACTTACCACTGTATACTCTGGGGTCAATACAGACCTCTGGAGTACAATCTGCAAAGCATGTTGGATCAAATATTTACAGAGCCATGCTACCTCTCCTTCATCTCTCAAGTAAGCAAAATCAGTCATCAGTTGTCATCAAACAATTTCCTTCCAGATCAGCCTGCTCTCTCCCCTCAGACCAACCAGAAAGTTCAATTGACTTCCAGCGGTTCTTCGCTTCAAGATCATTTTTGCTTTTTGTAAATAAAACATTAAAACTCACTTGTTTTCCTGTTTGATTTTGCAAGTGGGTCAAATAACTACAAACTAACAAGACAAGAGCTTGCTGTTTTTCTCCCCACCCTTTTCGACTGTACCGTAGGTATGTTTTGCTTTTCTAAAAAGTTTTGTCAATTTTTTATACCTGACCTAATGGAATGCACTCCTTTAAAAGAGTTAAACTTTTATTTTGCTGGTCCACAGACTTTTTTTTTTTTTTTTAAGAAGTTTTAGGGTTCATCAATTTGCAATTTTATATAACCCTTTACGAACTTCCTGTTATTTTGTTAATTTTTGGACTTATTCTTTGGCAAGAGTAAAACATTTATTTAGTCAACCGAACCTGATTAGCTCCCTTGTGAGCTGAAAAGGGGGATGCTAGAAAAAGAAACAAATCCTGCATTAATTTTATGAGGGGAAAAAGGCAGTCATTTCAAGTATTTTTCCTATTTGATGTTTTAATGATAAAACTGATTACTCACTCATAATGTACTATAAAGGTATCTAAGCACATTTTGTTATTTCATGTAAATGATTTGTGTTTTAAGATATTTAACTCTTTCAAAGCAGTTTAGTCAAAGTGCATCCATTTTGCAAAATAAAACAAAGAGTTTAGTCAGCTGTTTAAGTGTGACCTCCGAGGAAGGGGAAATGGTTAAGTGAAGAGTGATGCTTCAAAGCCCAGTGGAGGGTCAGCATTGAACATCAACGATGTTCAACATAGGTTGTAAGGTTGTCAAACAGAATGACAGTCTGCTACACCACAAGGATGAAACAATAGTGATGTGGCAATTCCCAAACATTGGCCTTCTAATGTTGCCCCAATGATGAGACATTTAACTTGATTTTCTTAACACTCCTTTTTTAAATCATGTATATCTGCAAGGAAAGGGAGCAAAGGTAAGTGGGCTTGTTTTGTTCTAGTTATGAACAAAGCACATGATGCAATTAGATGAAATAGGCATGCAAATTTGTTTTCATCCCCAGGCGAGGGTTACAGAGAGAAAAACTATGAAGCAGCAAGCGGTTCGGTGGGAATCAAGAGGAAGTGATCGGAGCCTGCAAATATCTTGCTGATGAAACTAAATGTATGTCAAAGCTTCTGGTGTGAAATCTAAATTTGTTACATCTAAAAATAAAATGGTGGTATTTTTTTTATATAAGTCTTTATATTAAATAGGATTCTATATGTAATCCCATGTAATTACTATCTGATTTTTTTTTTTACTTCATTATCGAATAATTGCCCGTTCCATAGGAGGGAGTTCCATGGATTGTTTTTCTGCAGTTAAAATGACTGCTCTAGGACAACACCATTTTCTGGTAAGCTGCAATTGGCATTTTATAGCTCAGTGTGACAATCTGACTCAAAGAGTAGTTGCAGGAGAGAAGAATAAGATCTTTACTACTTTTTCTTCTGCAAAGCTCCATTTCTCGGAGGTCCTCATGAAACGGCAGCAATTTTTCAAATTCCTGGCATCTCAGCAGGGCAAAGATGCGATGAAGGCCTTGGAGCAGAGGATGGAGCTGCAGGGGCGATTCTTCCTCTTCTTTAAATCCAGATATGTTTTTATTCAGTGTCCTACAAGCTACATTTAAATGAAGTCAAATTAAGCATTTTATTGATTCCTACATGGAAAAGGATCAGTGTACTTGAAAAAAACAAAAGCACAAGCAGACTAAGCTAAAGAAAGAAGTACATGCCTAATGAAATTTTTCAAATAGGATAGCTTTGAAAGCACATTCATATTATCTACAATTTCTCCTCTGTGTTAAATTGAATTAAAGTGGGAAAAACTGTTTTGGTCTTATTCAAGGCTGAGAGTAACTTATTAGATTTTAGACTATAAAATTGTGTTATGAGCAACACCTAAAATGCAACACCAGTAGAAAAGTCAGAAGCAAACAGAATTTGACATATGGCAAATGCATACCTGTTAGCCTTTAGATGATGGTATCCAAGACTTCCATTTCTTTTTCTTCCTCTCATCTTTCCTGTGCAGAGTCAGAGATCTACAGGCACATTACTTCTCATTAGCATTCTTGATGCGCTTTGCATTGATCATTAATTGAAAATAAGGCCTAATCCAGGTGCGCTAATTTCCACAAGCACTGTGATTTATAATAGAAGGATGTGCATGTTTATTACATCTTATTATGTCCTCTTCAGGCACAAAGATTTCATAGCTTCTGTGCACTATTATGATTTTAATATATGTCATACACCTTGTTTCATGTATGAGGGCATAGAAAATTAGCTGTTTTTTGGTATTACAGGAATTGATGATCAAACTGGGTGCAAAAGGTGACTTCCATGGCTGGTTTATGTAAGAAAAGGGAGAATCAGAAGGTTAGGCACACTGAACATCACACTGAATACCACATCTCCATTTAGACACAGAAGAAAAACTTTCTCATAGTTGTTTCAATGGTAAGTAAAAAAAAAGACACCCTCACAAATATCATACCTCAATGCAGTTATTTAATATTCCTCCATTTCATTCCTGACAGGTGCATAGACATACAGTCTAACTGAATCAAGAGATGATACCAGATCCTCTTTTTGTTCCAAACATGAAGGTCCTAGCAGCATAATACTTTAAACCAGACTCCACAAAACACAACGGGTTAAAACCAATTTAGCAAGGAACTGATTCATGCATTTTATGCCTTAGCTTTAATAGCTGATTTTATCGGTCTTCCTTTATTGCAAACTTAATAAATCTGTAATTGATAACGTTGAGACACTATATGTTGTCAGTAGCACCAGGTGAACACATTATAGGGCTGCTGCAGCTAGGATTCAAGTATTTTTTAAGCAAGTTCTTAATTTTGATTTTCTCAAAAGAGAAAAGCAAGCACTGAGATTTACTGAGCAATATGTGAGGGAGTATGTATTAAGGTGACAAAATGAAAAAAACAACAATCTTTACATTTCATTGTATTTTTCAAATATATTTAAAATGTCACTTTAATTTTAGGTTTTGGAATTGAATCCTTTTTCTGCTGGTAGCTACTTCTGCGCCAACCCTTATCCCTTTAGTCTGGATACATGATGATGGGCTAATATCATGCTGTTATCCTTTCAGTCTCTTCTTTCTTTTTCCACAGCTCAGTAAACTAGAGCCTGTGCTGCAAATGTTCACAGTAGAGGATGAGAAACAATTAAAGAGGACCTTGCAGCGCCTTGATGTACTTGCAAAGGTAATCAGAAGTCAGATACAAACTCTACACTTTATTTCTTGTCATAAAAATTGTATGGGCACGTATCTCTGGTTAACATTCATCCATCCACTTGCCGATCTGTCCTTCTGTCCGTCCGTCCTAAAAAATAACAAAACAAAATGCAAAAAGTATGGCAATGCATTGCGTTTTGTAAGAAAAAACTAATTTCCCTGTCTCTTCAGAAGTCCAAATTATAAAAAAGACAAACACCAAACAAAAATACAGATTCTTATTGGAAAGAAAAAACACATTAAGGGGGAAATTAATTAACTTTAATGACATATATCCTGTTGCAGTTTTCATTAGAAAATAGTATTTATTTAATGGTGATAAAGAGCAAGCCTATTTCCAACCAGCAATCAGCAAACTTATGTTGGATTCACAGAGGATATACAACATAGAAAAGGCGGTTACTTTCAACACCTACCAGTGCTCCTTAAAGGTCAGAACCACAGGACATCAACACACAGTTACTTTCATGGGTTGGACAGAATTTTCAGTGAATTGGTTAGAATATCAAATGTAGAGTTCTAGAGGTGTAGTGGAACTGGTTAAACCTCAACAAAATCTCACCTGCTCTTCCTTTTCTATTCTTCAGGAAGCCTACAATAAAGTAGCTATGGATGTGGAACTGTCTGAAAGGGTGGGTGGGTGTTTTGCTGCTAAGCTGATGTGTTGAGCATACATGTTTCAGGAGCAAGAGAGAGCAAAGAAGTTGCAATACGAGGAGCTTATTAACCCTGACTATGGATCTACCAGCAGGATGTACTACAGGTTTGAGCCGGAGCTTGTTTCTTTGCACATTGAAAGCTTTCAGCTAACTGAATCCACTGTCTCAAACTGGATTAGTTAGTGCAAAAAAAAAAAAGTCACAATTTTACAAATCTCATTATAAGTATTGTGTAATTTCTCCAGCTAAATTAGAAACAGAAATTTTGCTTCCTAGTTTAAAAAAAGGAAACTGAGAATAAACCCAACTGTTAAATCAGAAAATGGGGAGAAGAAAAATAAGTTATACTGTGATAATCTCCACGTGTTGTTTTTTTAACCAGTATATTAAAAATAAATTTGACTTTTCTAGTTAAAATAACATGGTCTAATTTATGAAATAGTCATATTAGTAGCACTAATTAACAGTATTTACCATTAAAAGGAAAGACATGTCAGCAGAGGATATTGATACTTTCTAAATGAGAATTGGCCAATTAAGTAATTCAGCAACTGATGAAAATTGTTTCAAAATGTTATGTCCCTTTGCTGTTTCTCCTATATGGTGTTGCTTGCTCTGCCCCTGGTCTGAAACTTAATAGTTTTGGAAACGCATTTTGAAAACGCATTTTGGCTAGTTATGATTTTAAGGTGGTCAGTTGGTGCAAACATCATGCAAATCCAAATTTACACCAAAATCAAGAAGTACTACAGACTCAAAGAAATAGACAAGCAAACACAAAAATGAGACTCACAGATGGCATAATAGAAACTTCTACAGTCAATTCCTGTTCATATTTTTTTTTTTTGGTCCTTTGTCAAGGTGCTTGTACTATGTGCTTGATGAGATTGCTCTTAACAGAAAGGCCAATGTTATGGTTGCTTCTCATACTTAAAAAAAAACACTAATACACCCTAATAAGGTGAGATTAGATTTCTTCCTAAACGCATGGTGTTTTTAAAGCGTTTAAAAACTGCTATTTCCCTCTAGACCAGGTGTTTCAGGAACTGCGCTAATTTGATTTGTTTGTTCCAACCATTCAAAATGAAGGAGCTGGGTCCATTACCAACAGAGAACAAGGTGTTCTTTGGTCAACTACTGGGCATGTGTGATCAGATCAGCTTCCCACTGGGTGAGGAAACACACAACACTCTGTCCACTCTCTTCCACGGTCATACAGGGACAAGGCAACAATTCTTCCTGCCTTATGTAACAGTGGCTGGTGAGTTCCAGTCCAGCTTCTGCAGGATGTGCATTATCTTTTCTCCCTCCCCTGTAGCTCTCAGCTGCATCCGAGAAGACCTTCGAGCTACACTCAGGCACCTTATAGGTTACACGGACAAACGTTTCACATGTCAAAGCCATCCCCCAGTCTACAATTTGACATATGAACTGAGACACCTCAGTATTGACCAGCTGTCCTAACGAAGCGTCACTGTTACTTCTCACCACTTTATTTGTCAGTCAGACAGACACACTGGCAGGCAGTTGTCTGTCAATGTGGAGCTGAGGATAAAATGACCTGGCAGACACACACCTATTCATGTTGTTGCTTTCTAAAGAGAGAGTGCAGCTGGACTGGAATCATTGGCTTCCAAGGCAAAAATAAAAGAGGGGAGCTGAGATTTTCCTTATTTGTTTTTCACTAAAATTCCAAAATGTTTGTATTTTCTATGAAATTGTGTTTAAGGAATATTGCTAGCCTGGAGGATTTTGTCAAGACTTTGTTTTGCCTCAAGCTGTCTGGTTTGATGTGTTATACCCATGATTCTGTATTGAACATTCATCTGAAATGTAGACCCCAAGTGAAAAGAAAAAAAAATTGTTATGCTCAGCAGCAAACCTGACAACTTCAAAGTTAATGCAGCAGAGAGCTGAAGCTACAGCAAGAGTCCATTTGTCAGATTTCCTTTTGGGGGGAGCCTGAAATAAAAATTCAAACTCATGTTCTGCAGACATAGTCATAGTATCCTTATGGTCAGGCGGATCTACTGGGGTGGCATAGGGTGGCAATTGCCACCCTAAATGACAGCCTTGCCACCCCTGCTGCCACCCCAGTTGGCTGTAGGGGTGGCGAGGCTTATAAATTATTATTATTATGGATAATTTGAGAATTGCGACCGCTAATTTCTAATGTCGGACTGCAGTGAATGCAGCACGAGATGACGCAAGAGCGACTGAGACTGATTAGTTTTGAAAACCGAATGGGGCAAAGCGAGGGATCCAGGGGTCATGGGGAGAGGAGACACAGGATGAAACAGGTAAAAACTGATTAACTATCTATAGAGAAATGAAATCATAATGAAAGCACAATGTTGCTAGAATAGCTGCAATGCTGATTTTGAGATGATAAAAATCAGGTTGCAGAACGTTATTTCTCTATCTATGATGTTAGTTAGGCCTGACGTCTCAGGCTCATAAAGACATATTTGCAGTCAACTATGACAGAAAAGAGATTACCGGTATCAAGTTTGGTTGTACTCAAATCAAAACGCACAAAGGCATTGGATCTAAATAAAGTTGTGAAGCGTTTTGCTGAGCAACATGGAAATCACTGCATTCAGCTGTTATAGTCATGTTAACTTTATGTTATGCTCTCTGGTGAGCCTTTACAGAGCTGTTACATTTTGTTTTGGCACCTGAGAAAATCTGATATTTCCTTTAATAAAACCAAAAGTGTTAAAAGTAAATGTAAAAATGTGATACTGGTGTAAATCCTGCTTAATACGAAGCAGTGTTGTTGTTTCTTTTTTATATAGTATGAAACTATTCAGAAATGACCTGTATGAAGCTACTCACAAAATGTTTTATACTTTTACAGATTGGAAGAAAAAATTATTTTTATGTTGCTTCTTTTCAGATTTGTGGAGTTTTGGAGGTAACATACAGTACCTGCCTTTTTGTTGATTTGTTGATACAGCAGCTCTATCTATAGCAGATCTACATGCATGAAATGTCCCTTTCATGTTGCCTTAACTGCTGTATGTCAAGTTACTGAGGACCAAATGGGGTAAATGTGTGTTCAGAGTAAACATTACATGGATGTCCAGTACCTTGTTTGGGTGCCTTGACCCATTTATTTCTACTGTGTAGTTATGCTCACTTTAGTCCAGCTCAGTCCATAGATCTCTGATGGGTAACTTTTTCTTTCTATAGTTTCTTCTTGTGCAAATGCTGCAAAGCTGCCTCTCTGACAGTCAATCTCACACATCTGCGAACTCAGCACCTGTGTCTTACCTTAATACCTTTCCTGTCATAAGGCCCCTCTAGAAGTAGTGTTATCATTCTTCTATCTCCTATTAAGTGAGATCACATTGTACGATGTATTATGTATATGATAACTGTGATTAAATTCAGTGTAAACAAATGCCATATGTTGCCACCCCTCAAAAATTCCTGCCCCCCTCTCGCCACCCCATAAATATTTTTCTAGATCCGCCCCTGCTTATGGTATAATAATACCGTCTAAGAATACCATGGTTTTAACTTATTTTCGAAAAAATACATCTTCTAAGTTTAACACAGTTTCTGAAATTTACTTTTTTTATCTGCAAAGGCAGATTTCCCTCTGTCCACTACAGCTAGTTGGATGGACATAAAAGTTCATTCAGTTTAATCGAATAGCATCAATTAAAACACATGCAATTTCAAGGCCCTTTTTAAATACAATTAATTCTAATCATACAAGCAGAATAATTGAAAGTTTTCTTTCTAAGAAACCCAGCCGATTGCATCGAGTCATTGACTTTGCAGGATTTGTTCCTTGTGGAGGAGCATCTGTAGCAACACTCGACAGTGGTTTGCATTGTAATGTTAATATGTAGCAATCTCTTTTGCTGAGCATGCATATATCAAGAGTGTAAAGGAAAGCTTACTAGGAAGAAACCTCCAGCAGAACAAGGCTCAGCATCAACAGCCTTCATCCTAGACCGACGGAGGGTTTTAGCAGACAGAGCAGACTGATAAAAGGAGCACAGATGCACCGTTTCCTGAATATTCTAAACTTTAAAGAAGTAAAATATTAACTGCATTAAAATCTTGTATCATTGCTTCATACATTTTTCATGTAATATTATGAATTTAATGTCATGGACCCAAAAAATGTTGCTTTCTTTGTAATATTTATAAAACTATAAAACTTTTGATTAGTTTAAGACTACAGGCTCCTGGACCAAAAACAAAACTCAAGCATTACATGTTTTTATGCAATGATAGAATATCTCTTTTTTTTAATTGTCTTTTTCCAGGCAGGTTTCTCCGTCTACAAGTATTTCCCCTTTGGGCCGGTGAGTGAGGTGATGCCCTACTTGTCCCAGCGGGCACGGGAGAACCAAGGCTTTTTTGAAAGGGCCCAAAAAGACCGGCTGTGGAATCAGCTGAAACTTATACTTGTCTCTGGGGGGCTTCTCTACAGACCGGTGTACTGAAGACAGTAGAAGCAGAGGCCCGAGAGGAGAGTTTGTCAGCTTTTTCAGGGTTTTTTTTTTTTCTTTACTAAGCAGTAGATACCATGAACCATTCTCTCTAGCTTGATAACTACTATTGATGCAGCTGTCTGCTCCAACTTTCCCTTTGTGCATTTTCTGTTTTACAGTGCCCTGTAGTTCTTCCTAATAAAGTTCCATGGACTGTGTGGAGTTTTATTTTTTTCACACACCTTCAACCCATCCAAGGGCTCTTACTGTTCCCTATTTCTCTCTTTATCCACCCCAGGTCCTAACAGCATTCCTCATTTTTGTTACTCTACTATCTGTAGAGCTCTGTTATCCATCAAGGGGACATCTTTACAGCTCCAAAAGGACTCCCTAAAATGTCAACAACACTAGGGTGGACATCCTTCTTTATTACTCCATTTATCTTGGAGAGGGAAAACAATCATAAAAACAACTGACTGGATTTAAATTGCAGCAAAGGACGGATTCTATATTTGAAATCTTTCATTTTTCCCAGCCACGTATGCTGACGGCCCCTCTGTTCTGTATTTTTGTTTCTGAAGGGGCAATGCCAGTTTTAACACAAGGCTTGTTTATAAATCATCAAAGAAAACTAAACTTTGCAGAACATCCTTTATCCTTTCTTAAAGAGTTCAAGGGTTATTGTCTTTGTGCTTATAAGTGTTGTTATAAGATACAACAGTGAAACATTGCAGATAAAATCATAGAAATGGTGAATACATCTGTTTTATACATGGGCAAACCAGATAATTTTTTGTTCTACTTTGACACTGTTTTATTGACTTATTTGGAGTTTGATTAATTACACTGGCATACAATAAATACATTTGGAGCAATGTATTTAGAGTTTGAATTGCCAAAGATTTTCAGCTATATTAATCAGCTCAGTATTGATGTAAAAGCACACATAGTCGTCTGTGCATTTATATTCAGTTTCCACGTATCAATGCATTGTAGAATCCCCTATGTCTGCATTTTTAGACAGTTTTGCACATCTAGGGACTACATTTTTTTCCATCATTTCTTTGCAATACACTTTAGGCTCAGTCAAACTGCATGGTGTAATGGGTGTTTATGAACCCTGTTATATTTAATTTAGTGTTTTCTTTTTCCCTTATTACCTGCTGGTCCTCTGCACTCCAAAAAATAAAAAAAATCTAATTTAAGTAAGATTTTTTAAATTTTATTCTTGAATTGACCAGGTAAGTGAGAAACGTTGCCAATGAAAATCAAAAATTACATTTAAAATAAGAAAGAAACAACCGCAGTCTATTATTTCAAGTGTATATTACATACAGATCTTATTTTAAGGGTAAAAATAACAATTCCATTGGCAGATAATTTTATTTACCTACACATGTTAGGGGTTGATCCCCTTTAAAGAAATGTTTACTTTTAGCACTGTGTTTATGTACTGTTCCCATCCTGGTGTCATCCATGGGTTACTGTGCTCACTGGTTCCTGTGAGTTATTAAAATATATCCATCATCATGAGCCTGCTGATGTGCTGTTGCCTCCATCTCCACAAACCATGACAAATAGAGTTTTGCTTGTAGGCCAAAACATTCTGTTTTGGTTTGACCAGATCAAATTAAAGATCTCCCACATACTCAGAGCTGTACCTTCAACTAATTCTTGCAACTATCCTACGGATATGTGGCCATTGCACAAGTTTAATTCTGGACAAATGTACATCTAAGAATCTCCAATACCTTTTAATATATAATAATAAATGTTTTTGTATAACTTTGCAGAAACCGTGTAAGTGCAATTGGTTGGACTAGATTTAATTCAAGGCTACTATAGTAAAGGGCCCTGAATACAAATGCTCTCCTAAAAGTTACTTTGAGATTTGATTAGTGTTATATTTTCCATCTTAAAACAATTAATTCCAAATGAAACACTTGCATTTTTGTGTATTTTAGTTTTGTAGTGGTAAAGAATGATTTATATTTACCCCCAAAATGATAGAGAGGAGAGTTCATTTCAAGCTTAGGTATCACCAGGAAATATATTTTATTCAGTTATTGATACACAGTATTTATGTCCAAGGGGAAAATTAGCTTCACGGTAATTATGGCCTCGTCATTTTGTACGAGGAGTCAGTGCTCTGTAGACCATCATCATTTAATTACCCCTGATACTTCACTCAGTGCAGATCACAGAAATTGGATGCATTAATCATTACTCAAAAGAAATGTTAGTGACTGGTGAGTTTAAGAGAGACAGAGCACTGCAGAGCTGTCACTGTTGCTCCATTCCATTGGTTTAATTAAGAATCTAGATGCCTTTGATTTTTTTTGGGAACACCTTCTGGGTATATATTTGTCTATGAAATCCATTCTTACCGGTTGCTGGAAAGCTTCTCGGTGTGTGTGGAAGATAATGTGTCCCAATTTTCTAACAAAAACTGATTGAAGTTTTTTTCTGAATGCTTAAACCCTAAACATGATTTGATAGCACAATTTCTATCACTATTAAAAAATAGCAAAACCTCTCACTGAGTTTGCAAAACTGAAAGCATAGACACTCCTTTGCAATTTGATAAAACACCCTTTTCAAAACTACAATCCACTGCACAGCAGTCCTTTTGTGGAACACAACTCATTTCTTTACACTCAATTTCATAATGTTTAACACACTCCTAGCAAAACAATACACACATATATGGCCATTTTTCACACAAGTTTACCAACTGGAGCACATTGTCACATTTAAAACTGTTTTAGATAATTAGTTCACTTTGCAATCAGCCTAAGCAGCACTATAAATTAGCAACAGGTGAGCTGTCTCTGTGAAGTACAATGGAGGGAGCAAGAAGAGTGAAAATTAGAGGAGGAGAACAGTTACGACATCATATGGGACAATATCAGTTTCCATAGGGCTGTTTTGGTCCACAACTGGTTTACAGATCCCCCACTCTCCACTGCACTCAACCTCCCTGCATACGATTGAAGAGTTCTTCTCTGCCTGGCAATGGAAGGTCTATGACCGTCATCCCCATCAATGCACACCTTTTACAGGCAATGGAGGCAACATGTGGGGATGTTGACCAGACGTCATGTCAGGTTTGGATATGGCAGTCCAGGTGATATTTCCCCGGTGCCTTGGACAAGAGGACAATGTGACAACGCATGTGATGTGGATGAAGTCTTGTTGCCGGATCCAGAGAGACGACACAATGTCGATTTTTTTTCTCTCAGTGATTTTTGTTTTGACTTGGGAAAAAACCCACTAATGTTTGATTTGATGTCTGTAAATGAGCACCAATACAGTATGTTTGGGTCCCTGTATGTTCTGGATCCCTGTATGTTTACAGAACTATGACAAAAGTATGACCTCAAGCTGACATATCCTACCTTGTGCACAGCGAAAGCAAAAGCCAGATGTTTTATTTATACCATCAATGTGTAGTTGGCACATGTGTGCTTATTAGTGATATGATGGCTTGTTTTAACTGTTTGATACAGAAATACTGTTTTTGCATAGGTTTGAAGAGCTAAGTAAGGTTTATTAACTTTTGCAATAGAACTCCAATGTTTTGGTGATTTGGAGAAAAGTTTTTTTTAAATTTTTGTATAGAGTTTTGCAAAAAGAGCCAATAGTTACAAAAATTGTGCTTAAGACATCAGAAGAAATTGTAATAGAAATGCTTTTCATTTTCAAAGTACTGCTTGACTAATAAATAAAAAAAGAAATTAGTACATATTGAATTTTCATTTTCTTCAAGACTGTTATTTTTTGTTTAAATTAATTACATTTTTTATTCAAAAATGTAAAATTATTTGTAAAAATGTCCCAGCAAAAAAACAAGCATTTTGAAATATGAGATTTGAAAAAGTTTTTTTGACATAAATTACCCATTGATAACCCAAACTGCTTTTTGTTTTGTTTTTTGATTTTTTCTGCTAGATTGCTTATTTAGTTAATTATTCAAAGTATTAATAAAATAACATTCCCAGAAAAAAGAACAGAACATGAAAACGTTTCTTTTAATCCATTTGATTAGGAAAATATGTGTTAATGTTTACCTTTTTTATCATAAAGGCCCTACAAATCACTGCTCATCTAGAAATGAAGCAATATTGTTCAGGGAAAAAACATTCCTCTTTTTAAAAAAGAACAAAAACTGAGTGGATTGGCTTGGTGCTGCATCCCAGCTGCTACTTGGGCAATAATCGGGGATTGTGTGGCAATACATGAACTGACGGAACTGAATATAGTGGCTTTGAGCCGCTGTGGAGTATCATGTATTTTTATTTGTTGACAGCAAACTGAGAGATTACAGAAAACCATCCGCATTCTGTTTAAAAGCCGCAATCATAGAAAGATAATGATAGAGATTTATTACTCTCTATGGGATCACAGGTGGAGTCATCAAAATAATTTTTGTAAAATACATTTGAAGGCTGACATACAGTAATATGAGGTCTGAATGCAGTGGGATGGTTTTCATCCTTCACCTCACTGGATTTTATACAACTAGAGTCACATCTGTTTTCTCTCTGACGTTAACATTTTAGGTTGAACCAGAAATTATGCAAGCTGCAGAAATGTTACTTTACCTCTAACTACAAGCTGATTGACCTTTTGTTATGGACTTGAAAAACAGAACAATCCAGCTGGCTGTTTATTTAATTGACTGTAGTTTTCCAATAGTCCTACTCTGTAAACTAAAAAAATACACTCACCATGGACATAAAGGGGGGAAAAAACAGACTTACATTAATAGACAGCAGACTATATTTCTAAACATTGCACCAAAATTTCAAAATATATTCTACATGGTCAGCCAGAATCCGGAGGGCAGTCTAAGTCTGTCAAAATGCTACATGACACCTTGTCAATATTTAACAGCAACATCTGTAACTAACATGACTCAAATGTCAAACCAGGAGGAAGACTTGTTAAAATTCAGCAAGTCAATGACATTTCTCTGTAAAATAATTGGCAACACATAAGAAGGTGAACACAAAATCCCAAGTGATTTCAGAAGAACAAGAAGCAAACAAAGCTTAAACTTGGCCGGCACAAGCTAATCTTGGAGACATATACCTGTCAGGCTGTCCTTGAATGAATGTAGCCTTTGAAAGGAAAACAAAAATAATGCTCATAGTAAGTATAACATTTAATCTCCCAGACCTAACAAACCACACAATCATAGTCTGCCTGATGTTAC